TTATCCCACCTGTCATTAAATATTCTATTTACAAAAAAAAAAAAAAAATATTTTTTAATCCTCACCCGAGGGTATGTTTGTTATTGATTTCTTTTAGAGGGGAAGTGAGTGGGGAGAGGGAGAGAAACATCCATGCATCTCCCATATGCACCGACTGGGGACCGCACCCCCAACCTAGGTTTGTGCCGACTGGGAATCGAACCTGCAGCCTTTCAGTGTACAGGACGACACTCCAACTGAGCCACACCGGCCAGGGCAAAAAAAAAAAAATGTTTAGCCCTGGCCCAGCCAGTGTGGCTCAGTGGTTGAGCATCGTCCTATGCACTAAGAGGTGGCCAGTTGATTCCTGGTCAGGACACATGCCCAGGTTGTGGGCCAAATCCCCAGTGAGGGGCATGCAGGAAAAGGCCAATAGATGGTCTCTCATCAATGTTTCTATCTCTCCCTCCATCTTCATCTCTCTAAAATCAATAAAGAAAAAAAATTTTTCTTACCCTGGCCAGTTTGGCTCAGCGGTTAGTGTCGGCCTGTGGACCAAAGAGTCACGGGTTCGATTCCAGTCAAGGACATGTACCTCAGTTGGGTTTTGGTCCCTTGCCCTGATTGGGATCATAGAGGAAGCAACCGATCGATATGTCTCTCTCACATCGATGTTTCTCTCTCTCTCTCCCTCTCTCTTTCTCTCTCTCTCCTTCCCTCCCTCCCTCCCTCCCACTTTATCTGAAGATAAATGGAAAAATCCTCGGGTGAGGATTAAAAAAAATAAAAATAAAAAATGTTTAATGTGTCATTGTAGATCCTTTCCAATGGTTTCTGTATTTTGTAAAATAGCAATTTCAGAAAATGGAGGACATTCTTCTAAACCCGATACACTCTAAAATTCAAGACAGAGCACACTGCTTCCCTAAATTGCTTTGCTAAGTCAGAAGATTTTTTTGAGTTTGGAACATCTTGTCATACTAGGGTTATGTCAAAATGATTAAGTAATCAAACTGGATCCTACTAGCCAAAGATGGAACAATTTAGCATAAAAATGAATAATTTCAATAGCCAGAGACATATCACATGTTGGAATCCATGAGTTCATACTGATACAAAAAATTTTTCTTAACTAATTAATTACCTTTGGAAGATGCTGGAGACCAACTCATTATTCAGAAAATGGGTAGGTAAAAGGAAAGAACCAGGCATTCATGTGCCTATCAAGGATTATTTCAGTCACCAAATATTTGATGAAGGAACGGTTTTTAATATAAAATATTTGACTTAATTGATAACGAAACAATAGAATTGTCCTGGCTGGTTTGGCTTAGTGGGTGGAGCATAAGACTGTTGACCAGAGTCTTGGGGTTGATTCTGGTCAAGGGCACGTACCTCAGCTGAGGTTTGGTCCCCTGCCCTGGTCAGGTCCTGCAGGAGGCAACCAATATATGTGTCTCTCACATTGATGTTTCTCTCTCTCTCTCCCTCCCACTCTATCTGAAGATAAATGGAGAAATATCCTCAAGTGAGAATTAAAAACAAACAAACAATAGAATTAAAAATTTCCATTTTGGCCCAGGCCAGTTTGGCTCAGCAGTTAGAGCATCGGCCCACAGACCAAAGAGTCACAGGTTTGATTCCGGTCAAGGGCATGTACCTTGGTTGCAGTTCGTCCCTGGCCCTGGTCGGGGTCGAGCAGGAGGCAACAGTTGATGTGCCCTCTCATGTCAATGTTTCTCTCTCCCTCTCTTCCTCTGGCCAGTGTGACTCAGTTAGTTGAGCATCATCCTGTGCACTGAAAGGTCGCTGGTTCAATTCCCAGTCAGGGCACATGCCCAGGTTGTGGGTTCGATCCCCAGTAGGGGTGTGTTTGGGAGGCAATTGATGTTTCTCTCTCACATCAATGTTTCTCTGTCTCTAAAATCGACAAAAAAACATATTTTAAAAAATAGGAACAATTCCAATAAAAGTGCAAGTTCTGTACAGTGGGCCCTCCTTTATCACAGTTAATCAGTTCCAGACTCTACTGCAATAAATGAATTTCCACAAAGTAGGATTCTTCATTTATATACAGTCGTCCCTCTCCACTTCGACTTTTGCGGCTTCACTCTATCGCGGTTTTTTCAAATACTATACTGTACTATGTTTGAAAAAACCACAATAGAGTGAAGCCGCAAAAGTCAAAGCGTGAAGTGGCGAGGGACAACTATACACTGAAAACTATAAAACACTGCTGACTGAAATGAAGGAAGACCTAGACATCTATACCATAATCATGGATTAGAATATTATGATGGCACATCTCTCCAAATTGATCTATAAATATAATACAGTCCCTAACAAAATCACAGGGATATTTTAGAAACTGACAAACTTGCCCAGACATCTATAAGGAAACACAAAGGCTGAAATAGTCAAAACCATTTTGAGGGAAAAAAAACAAAGATATTATAGAATTAAAGAAATCAAGACAGTGTAGTATTGGCATATAGATCAATAAGACAAGAAAGTCAAGATACAAACTTATACATAATGGTCTTTTTTTTTTTTATCCTTACCCAAGGACATTTTTCCATATTTTTGTTCAGATAGAGTAGGAGGGTGAGAGAGGGAAAGAGAAACTTCGATGTGAAAGGGACACATCAAGTGGCTGCCACCCGCTGGACCAACCAGGGCTGGGGACAAACTGCAACCGAGATATGCGCCATTAGCAGGAACCGAACCCGGGTCTCTCTGGACCACAGGCCGATGCTCTAACCGCTGAGCCAAACCGGCCAGGGCATCAATTGACTTTTAATAAACATGCCCAAGTAACTCAGTGGGGTATAAATTAGTGCTGGTTTAAATTGGTCACCATAAAAAATACAATGAACTGTATAAGTACAATGGGGTGAGACTTTTTGATATGTAAATTATGATATATATATCAACAGAGACTTAACTAAAATTTTTTTTGTATAATTATGGGACAATTAGCCCAGCTGGTGTGGCTCAGTGGACTGAGCATCGTCCCATGGACTTAAGAGGTCCCAATTTGATTCCTGGTCAGGGCACATGCCCCAGTTGCAGGCTCGATCCCCAGTAGGGGGGCCTGCAGGGAGGTAGCCAATTGATGTATCTCACCTTGATGTTTCTATCTCTCCCCCTTCCTCTCTAGAAAATCAATAAAAACATATTTAAAAAAATAACTATGGGACAATTAGGACAGTTATGGGACAATTAGGACAGTTTTAATACTGTATACTTGATTATACTTAGGAATTATTCTTTTTATTATTTTTTAATTTTTTTTTTTCTTTATTGATTTTAGAGAGAGAAGGGAGAGGGATAGGGAACATCAATTGGCTGCCTCCTGCATGCCCCCCACTAGAGATCTGGCCCACAACCTGGACATGTGCCCTGACTGGGAATCGAACTGGTGACCTCTTGGTGCACGGGTTGATGCTCAACCACTGAGCCACACCAGCTGGGCGGAATTATTCTTTTTAAACGTATAATGATGGCCCAGCAGGTGTGAATCAGTGGTTGAGCATCAACCTATGCACTGAGAGGTCTCCAGTTCCATTCTAGGTCAGGGCACATGCCCAGGTTGTGGGCCCGATCCCGTGCGGGGCATGCAGGAGGGGGCCAATCAATGTTCTCTCTCATCGATGTATCTATTTCTCTTTCCCTCTTCCTAAAATCAATAAAGGAAAAAAAAGTATAATGCTTATGTGTTAGTCTTTAATTTTAGATACATATTAAAATATTTTAGGATGACAATGATTTGGCAAATTTTCCTTCAAAATAATTGAGGGGGCACTGGCTGGGTGGCTCATTTGGTTGGAGTGTCATCCAGTACACCAAAAGGTTGCAGATTCAATTACCTGTCAGAGTGTGTAGCGGAGGCAACTAATTGATGTTCCTCTCTCTCTCCCTCCCTCCCTCTCTAAAATCAATAAAAAATATCCTCAGATGAGTATTAAAAATAATAATAATAATTGAGGGGGACAAACTGTAGATGAAGATATAAACAAACAAAAAAGAGATCTTGAATTAATTAAAGTTGGTGATGATCATACGGAGGGTCATTACACTCTGTATTTACTAAATTTTATATACTGTATGTATGAAATTTCCAAAATAAACAGAATTTTTACAAAGTTGCTTTTTGGAGGTGGAGGGTGCTTTAGTGACAGTCCTATAGTTAGTTTCTCAAAAAAAATCATGATCAGTCTCAGTCATCAGCCATTCTGCACATGACAGACATACTGAGGATGTATACCACTATGTAGTTATTTGTTTCTTGACATGACAGAAGCAGCACAACAGCCACATAAATAGCTCCCAACACTATTTAAAAGCCAGCATTATCACAATCTATGAATGATCTCTTATCTGATACTTCTGAGCTTATAGAGAATAAGCACAATAATCAGTTTTTCTTGGTAAATTCATCTAAAAACTAGCCTAAAGCTTAGGACTAGGCAAATGGGCTGTAGTTTCACTGGCTCTGTGCTAAAATTAATTAGCTAATTTGAGAGAGAAAGCATGTTAAAATGTCAATTCTGAATGAATAAAAATTGGCACTACATTGTTTAAATTCCACATATTAAGGCATTTGTTTTCCTCTATGGATTCCTTGAGGATAGAGACTGTTTTATTCATTATGCAAACTACCACACTGTAGAGTAGGTGCTCAATAGTTACTAAAGTTTGTTTAATTTATTAGGCTAGTTGAAAGCTTGGGAAAATTACTAATGAAAGTAGTTTTTTACTTAAATAATAAATTCTCTACATTTAAGAGTAATTCTGACACCTGTTAGAATGGCTACTATAAAAAAAACAATAAAATAAGATCCACTTATAAGTTAAATTTTACATTACAAATACATAAATATTACTGCTTTAAGAAAAACAAAAGTGTAGAGGAGTAGATTTCAGAAAGCACAATCCAAGAAAAATACAAGATCCATGGTCATAAAAAAGGTGCATCATTTACCATTCCCCTACTTAAAGAAATACAGTAGTAAACATAGTTGGTTTTAAAGTAATGACTTTATTAATAAATATACATCCATATGATGATGTAGATACAAATCATGAACACTACTCCATTCCCATACACATAATTGCACACGAGTAGCTCAAGTTCATGGACATAAAAACATACACAGTATCTATTCAGACAGCAGAGGACAGCGTGCTTATATCAGTTAATTGGTAATTATTTTCTCCATAATTATCTGTGGAAAAAGAAAATTGTGAAACTTCAAGAATCAAAGTGGTTTGATTACTATAAATCACACACTTGATTTACTATAGCATTAAATTTTCCAAAAATTAAATACATTATATGTGAGAGTAAAGATTTACCTACTTGGGGGTAAAGGAGGAAAAACCAAGGAAAGATTTAGATACATCCTAGAGTTTAATAGGACATAGTTAAGCTATAATAAAAACAGAAACCTAACAGCATCAAAATATTTTCTGTCCAAGGAAAAAATGTTTTCAACAACTGCTGTGAATTCTTCTATTTTACTATAAAGGGATCATAAAATTTTACCGTATATAGAGACAATGACTGACAGAGTAGCAGTTATAGTCAACATCCCCTGAATTGTTCTTTTAAAGCTTCTTAGAATATAAAAGGTGTTATTTTGTTTTTGTTTTTTTCTTTAGCTCATACACTGGTTTTCCTTACACTGGATGTATTACCTTTAACCTAATAAAAAGATTCAGATAATTTTTTCCTCCTTCACTCAAACGCTATTCTTATTTCATGAAAATATACATGTGAATTCACACAAACATCAGTTTGGAATGAATAGTACTTTTATTACTTTAACAGATGCTTCTCTTAAAAAGTAAATAAAAAATATAAAGAATTTTTTTAGTCTAATTGAAACACTGATTTTAAAAATGTCCCCAAATATTAAAAATTAAGCAGATACTTTTCTTCCAACACAATGTGCCGGTATTTTTTTAATATCCAGTGCAAAACTCCAAAGATAGTATTAAAATCATCCCATACTAAAGAATAGTTATGCAAGGTTATATTTGTCAAAAAATGAAAAATTCATCTGCATTAGCTCATTGGTTAATATGGTAAGAATAATAAATAAGGCATGTTAAAATATTTTTTAAAAGAAAAAAGTAAAGCAAACTTACTTCAACAGCAGATCATTTTCTGACCAACAGTTTTAATATAGAATAGTGAAACCTATTTTGTGAAGAAGAGAATCACACAATATAAAATTAGCAATTTACCTTTAAAGGAACAATCATACAGTGGGAAGAAAAGGCCAGTTTTCCCCAACTGATTATATTAAAGTATAGGCATTTAACATGCTATTTCAGTGTTCATCATGACAAGAGTCAGTGTTACAAAAGATGCACAATGTAGTCTTTAGATTATAGAGAAGTAAAAATATTTTATATTTTAAGACTTTGTGTTATCACTTAGATGTGTCTTCCTCTTCAGCATGGCACCAATACTGTTCACAAGGAGAAAAGGAAGTAGAATCAGGAGATGCTCACCAGCACCCAGATCTAATACTCCATGTAACTGCTCACATGAACAAAAAAATTTAGCTTTCTAAACAATGTTATCCATTCACAACTGTAGTCATTCACCCCCTTTTTGTCCTGGGACATAGCTCCTGATATTAATAAACACTGTTATGAACATACTTCCTTTAGTTGATTTCACCATTTCATTAACATGTATAAAAAAATCAGTATACAATAATACACCTGCTTTACCTTCTGACACACAGCACAGCACCACTGAGTAGATGTGCTGGAGGATGGGGAAAATGGGAGGGAATGAATGTGTGAAAGGGCAGAGAAAAAGGGTAGGTTATATATAACAAAAAAGGAATCAAAATTAACTAAAAGGGCAATGTCAAATGGACATACTAAAAAACACAACATGCAACCAAATCTTTGACAGTGGTATATATTATTCTACAGTAGAACATTTAAACAACTGTTTTCAGGAACTCAAAACAGGATTTCAAAGCAGCCGACTGCTGAACAATCTTAAGAAATAACTAAATGACAGATACATACTAAAAGTAAATAAACATGAATAAAGATGTAAGCATTTGTGTGTGTCAGAAGTTATACTGTTCTGAGTAAATTATTAAAATTTTATATTTTAAGCTTCTGCAAGAAGAAATTCTTGTAGCAATTTAGCTGCCAGAATGTTGCAAATGATTATGTAGTCATCCAACATTGTTTGCTATGGTTTTTGTGCAAAGCTAGAATTGTTGAGGTCACTGTCTGCACACACAGTCCCCATATACAATGCAACACCTCTTACTGTAAAGAGCAGCATAAAGTCCAGCTCATTGTGTCAGGCATCACTGGAACACCTGAAGGCTTGCTGCTTTTTTCCTGACAAAAAAGGTACGAAACATGACATCCATTTGCAATCAGTTTGTATTAACTGAGAGCAAGCCCAAACAACACAATATGTGCCTTTTTAAACTTTTAATTACTTTAAAAGTTTTTGGGTCCTGCAAACCTACATTATAATCTCAAAGGCATTTAAAACCACAAATACATAAATTGTAACTTTAAAGTTCAGTGGAATTTTTTTCCAAATCCAAAGTTTATAATAGTTTATTCAGACCAAACTCAGAATAAATAAAATGTATATTAACAAAGAATATTACTTTCAGAAAGGGGGCAAGAGAGATTTCCTCTGTCCCTACAATACATTTCTACCCAATACTTTTTCTTTTCCATCTACCTTGCTTCTAAAGCAAACACTGTTGGGAAAAATTTTCTTTTGCGTGAAGTGGTCTCACTGGAGCCACAATTAGGTGTTTAATTAAACTAACCAACATATTTTTTACATGTTTCATGCATAGATGACTCCTATATATTTCTTAATATCTGTGTTCTGACAGTCAGAAAACTGCATTTTGTTTTTATCAGTTTTATAGTCTACCACTCAGTTTGTGTCCTTTGGTAGATATAAACCTGAAACCACAGTAAGTGCTAATGCAACAGACAATTTCTCAGGAAAAAAAAAAAAAACACATTCTGAATAAATGAACAACAATAAATGTTTTAAGCATAATGCTTTAAAACTAAGTCTATACAAGGCAAAATGTAGTGAATATAGTTCCATGCAAACCTTAAGAATGTTTCTTTTTCTATTATATTACATATGCTATTCTCAGAATGCATTGTATTTCACCAAAAATGTAATGTGCAGTTTTTATAAAAAGTTTAATTTTTCTGTAAATATGAATTGTTTGTAGTGTTTGGTATATATGCTCTTCGGCAATTAAAAAAATACACAACCTATCATTGGTGAAAGGCAAACAGTAAATAATTCCTTTAGGAACAATGGTTAAATCAATTAATGCCATTTAGATCAATAAATAAGAAGCTGCCTAAACCTAGAACATTAAAAATAAAAATTTTAACATCTGAAGTCTATGTAAATGCCAAAGTACACAAATATCTGTGTCCTGTCTCATGAAAATAAATGTTACAAAAACTCACAGCCATACTTCAAATAATCCTGAATCATTAGTTTGCTTTGTTCCATCAGTTAAAAATACCTTAGATATTATCTTTAATATATTGTAGGCTTTCTTCACAAACTAATGGGTATAATAGTTTCAGTTGTTTAGTACATAAAGCATCTATTTAAAATGGCCCAAAAGTAGTGATGAATCTGAGACACAACCATAACTCTAAAGGAAAAGCAAAAATGACTTAGTTAGGTGTTACACTTGAACCTATGTACAAATTCAATGCCACTGCTTATGCCCTGAGAGCATCTGTCAGCATATGGAAGTTTCTGAGCAAAAGCAGGAAAAACAAACAAACAGGAAAACGAATGTGGAAAGCCCAGGTCATAAAATCATGTATGTCAAAATAAAACCAAGAAGCTTTGGGATTATTCACAATCTTCCTTCCAAACCTGGCCCTCCTTTCCTGCCTCATTCACTCATTTGGTGGCTTGACTTCACTGCTGGTTTCCTCTACCCCATGAACTGCTCTGCCATGCATCATAGGGTAAGGAAAAGCAGCAGTGCCACAGCCATAACCAAGATCAGCAAGACGGGACAGAGCTTTAATGCTACCTGGAGGTCTCCCTGGGCTGACTTTGTATCCCGCAGCTTTGGTTGTACCCAAAGGTCTGCCTGGACTTGTCTTAAATCCAGCTGCTTTGGTGGTTCCCAGGGGTCTGCCTGTGCTGGTCCGGTATCCTGCAGATTTGGTGGTTCCAGAAGGCCGGCCACGCTTACCAGATCGATTGAGATTTTTCTTTTTCTTTAGTTCATCTTTTATCTCTATGCTTCTGCCACTTGTAGTCTGCAAGTGCGTTTCATTTAATGGGTCTTGCCTCTGACAAGCCATTGGTTTGTGGCTGACTGCATGGCTATATTTGCTTTGCTGGGTGGAATATATGTCAAACTGATCAGCAGCTCTCATGGCATCTTCATTGAGGCAGGAAGGCTTGCCAGGCCCACAGAAAGCTGGATTACTGCTGGCAACAGGATGCATCATTTTCTACCAAAAATAAAAAACAAATATGCACAAATAAACATATACAAATATATATATATATATCTGTATGACAGCATTCAGTGGGAAAATAGTCTATCTTCCAACAACTATGCAGGCAACCTAAAATTAGGCTACAGACAGGACTCCAGACCACTTAAAAACAAACATACATCAGCAGAATCAAAGATACTTGCTTTTCTCAATTTAATCACGGGTAGGGACAAATGCCACACAGACTCAACTATCATACTGATTTATGATTTAGTAGCTATAATGTTCTCTGCTTAGGAACTGAAAAAGTGTACAGGTAGAAAATAAATGTTATATTCCTACATAATCTATGTCCTCTTTTCTTCTAGATCACTAAACCCTAAAAGTATAACAGTAAAGAGCTCTTATTAACATGATTTTTTTTCCAGTTTGCCTAACATTCATAGAATGTCTCCCTTTGCCCTTTTATTATTCTTCTTACATGTATACTTCTGATCTGGCCACAGTTTCCACGAGGTGAACATTTACTCATTATTATCATAATTTATTATTTATACAGAATCCTGAGTGTATGTTACACTTTACAAAAGATGGAATGTGCCAGACAAAGAACAGTCAGTCTCTTAGCCAAACATACTGACTCCCTTCAAGCTACTCTATTCAAATAGGAGGCAGCACCAATATAGAAAGTAAACAAAGGTTTCCATTACCTAAAACAAACGAACATTTACACAAACAATTCAGATTTATATTACAAAAATATGGGTAACAACCATAATAAAATGGTAGGGTTATCAAGACAAAAAGATGAATGTACAACACTGCTCTCTCAATCATAAATATGGTGTGGATCTTTTTCCCATAGGACCCCTGTGACTTATTAACAAACAGTCCAAAGTCTCTGTTTTGTCTGTGAGGACATCCCTGTGATGTTTTTCTCTTTATAAAGGCTGTATTACAACCATCACTATAACAAGCCAGCCCCAAACAACCATGATTGTTTAGACACACAAAAAATGAGTTTATAAAGAAGATAAATATATGGTTTCCGATTCAGATTTAGAAGAGTCTCTAATGTATATGAAGGCCTAGCCTTGAGTTGTTATTTACCTATACCCTTAGTACATGCAAAACTGCACCAAAACCTCACAAAAATAGTTACTCCCAGAGGCTAAGAACAGATAATTAATGCAAGTCAAAACCACTCTAAATTTATTTCACTTTATAAAGGCAAAAGGAAATTGGAATCAAGTCACAGAACTGAATTCTGTTAACTTATTAAATATTTGCTGAGAATCAACAGGTACAGAGCTGTTGGCTAGCTGGCTTAAAATCTTAGCTATGAAGGAAAAACATGGACAATGAGAAGCTACTTGTTTATAGCAGAAGCCTTATAGACTTGAGAACATAAAACAAGACTGACCTAAACACAAAGATTTAAAGGAGTAATTCTTCACTCATTCCCCAAGGAAATAATGAGAACTAGGTTATTAATTCTCACTAGCTCAAATTCTAATTTCAGATGAGAAATAAGGAGAGATCATCAAGGTGTGTTCAAAATGTATTAACATTTGCTGAAAGTTAACAGTTTTGAGCATTTTCTATGTGTCAGGTAATAAGCTTGACACTTTGCACATTATCTGATTTAATCATCACCACAACTCTATAATGAACATACTATTATTAACTCTGTTTTATAGAAACTGAGGTAGACTTTAGCAACATATTAGGAAATAGTAAAGCCAAATAGGAATTCAGATAACCTGCCTTCAGAACCAATAATACCAATATAGTATAAAATTATACTATAGTATAGTATATACCAGGGTTCCTCAATAGTAGCACTATTATTTGGGTCAGATAATTCTTTGTTGTGGAGGGTAGTCCTGTGCATTTTAAGATGCTTAGCAGCATCCGTGGTTTCTATCCAGAGGTGTTAGTAGCAACACCCTCCTGTTCCCCTTCCCAATTTCTGACAACCAAAAATTTCCCCAGACATTGCCTGGGGGGCAAAACCTACCCCCTACAATGAGAACCACTCAGATACACTAAAATGAAAATACACAACTTAATTTAAAATATTCCTGTTTAAGTTTTTATTTACCTCTTTAGCCCTACCTCTTCAAACTTTCAGAGAACCTTTCAATTGATAACATCTATTAAGTGAAATAGATTTGTTTTCCAAATGGAAGAAAATCTAATACTGGGATTTGTGAAGAGACCAACCACGTTCTTCTCCCCTTCAAGTTATAAGCTAATTAAGAAATATACACAGGCATTAGATAGGAATCAAAACACTAGTTTATTTCCAATAAAGTTGCAAATACAAAGAGAAACATACTCAGACTTTTGAGAAGACTGTAAAAGAAAAAGTGATCCCTTTTTTTATTTTATTATTCAGATATCATCCTTCTGGAATGCTCTAGTAAAAAGAGGTAGAAAGGGCCCGGCCGGTATGGCTCAGTGATTGAGTGTCGACCCGTGCACCAAGAGGTGGCCAGTTCGATTCCCGGTTAGGGCACATGCCCAGGTTGTGGGCCAAATCCCCAGTACAGGGCATGCAGGAGGCCACCAATTGATGTTCTCCCTCATGGATGTTTCTAACTTTCCCTCTTCCTTCCTCTCTCTCTAAAATCAATAAAGAAAAAAAAATAATAAAATAAATTAAAAAGAGGTAGAGCCCTGGCCGGTTTGGCTCAGCGGTTAGAGCGTCGTCCTGCGGTAGAGAGACCTGGGTTCGGTTCCCCCTAAGGGCACATACCTCCGTTGCAGTTTGTCCCGGGCCCTGGTTGGGTCATGCAGGTGGCAACCACTCGATGTGTCTCTTTCACGTCGATGTTTCTCTCTCTCTCTCCCTCCCACTCTATCTGAACAAAAAATGGAAAAATCCTCGGGTGAGGATTAAAAAAAAAAAAAAGAGGTAGAAAGGCCCAAATTCTCTTCCACAGGAAGTAAAACTAGCCAGTAAAGGGAGAACATTTTTTTCCTACAATCTGTTTCACTGCTTTATAGTTCACGCCTTTTTCTTTAATATATTTTTATTTATTTTTAGAGAGAAAGGAAGGGAGGAGAAGGAGAAAGAGGTAGAAACATGGATCAGTTGCCTCCTGCATACCCCTCACTGGGAATCGAGCCGCAAATCTAGGCATGTGTCCTGACAGGGAATTGAAGCGGGGACCTCTTGATGCATGGGTCAACACTCAATCACTGAGCCACACCAGCTGGGCTACAGTTCATGGCTTTTAAGTTCCTATCACTAACTTATCAATACCACCTTCCCTCTGGACCCTACTTTCCTTAACTTCATTTTCTCTTAATATATGAGAACATTTGTCATCTATTAGTACTCAAGATATATAGAAACTCAGCTTACATTACATTAGGTTTTTATTTTATTTTGGAAAAAAAAATTCTTTTTAAGAGAGAGAGGGATAGGGAGAGAGAGAAGTATCGATGTGAGATTACATCAATCAACTGCCCCCCGCAACCCTCTACTGGGGATAGAGGCCACGACCAGGGCATGTGCCCTGACCCAGAATCAGACACCGAACCTGGCAACCTTTCCATACATAAAATGACACCCTACCAACTGAGCCACACCAGCCGGGGCTAAAATTTTTTATAAGAGTCTATTTGAGCCAAACTGATGACATGCTGAGAAGCAAGATCCCAAATGATCCCACATTATGTTAGGCTTTTAGAGGTGAGATGTTAGACATCCTTTACTCAGATACGAACCAACATTGGGAAAAAAAAACAAACACCATTAAAAAAGTAGTCCTTCAATTTAAAAAAAAAAAAAGGACCCTTCTCCAATTCCTTTAATCTTTTCCAGGAATTTATGCATTTGTTTTGTATTATGTTAATTCTGACAAAGCTCACATTTATTCAGGGCCAACTCCATGCAAAACACTATTCTAAGCACTAAAACACAAAATAGACAGGAGTAAAGCTGTTCATCCCAATGTAAAGACAATGACACACTGACTTCAAGAATATTTCAAAGGGACAGACTTCTATATAGTTCTATATTTTCCTTCCTTGCTACTGACAAGAAATTATTACAGTATTCTGCTTACTCCATAACTGTGTAACAAGCTAGGCAAGAAATTTATGACCACTACCCATATAAATAGTTAACTAAAATAAGAAACAGCTAAAACCAATCCTTTTCTACTTTCAGATTTCAACCTGTTAAGATGGGAATCAGCACCATTAGATCCTTGTGTGCATAAACTATTTATATATATTTATATGCAATATTTGTATATACAAACATTAATCCTAAACTTAATAATCCCTCCCTACTCCCACTTCAGAGCCTGCCAGCTAACTGTTCTTTCTTGAAAGACTCTTACCATACTATAGTACAGAGTTCATAGGCAGAGCACATTTCTAAGGTCGGAAAAAATACAATGTATCTAGAAAGTTTAGATTTATGAAAGCCAAGCCTTACAGAACAGACTGTGTGGACTACCAAAGCTTATCTTTTAAAATGGTTCACTGGCCCTGGCCGGTTTGGCTCAGCTGTTAGAGCGTGCCCAAACCAGAGTTGCTGGTTTGATTCCAGTCAAGGGCACCTACCTCAGTTGCAGTTCATCCTGGCCCTGGTCTGGGCCCTGCGGGAGGCGGTGAGTGGATGTGTCCCTCTCATGTAGATGTTTCTCTCTCTCCCTCCCCTCCCTTCCTCCCACTCTCTCTGAAGATAAATAGAAAAATATTCTCTGGTGAGGATTAAAATAATAATAATTATTATTAATAATAAAATGGTTCACTGAATATAAGGGAGCCAACAAAGAGCTTCTATATATTTTAACAATGACTACACTGTAAATTTTGCTTAAATTAGCCATCCCCGACTATCACTAACTTATCAACACCACCTTCCTCCAGGACCCTACTTCCCTTAACTTCATTTTCTCTTAATATAGCAAAACATTTGTCATCTATTAGCACTCAGGATATAGACTGTGTGTGTGTGTGTGTGTGTGTGTGACCCCAAAAGTCTTTTGGTGAGCCGTTCTTTATGAAATAATTCCTTTCCCTTCTCTTGAACCTGGTGGTCACTACTGCCAACACAATGAACTATATTTTGAGTAACTTTCAAAACATTCATGAAGCTTTCTACACGCGGAGAAAATCATCCTTTCAAGAATTCAAAGTTCTGCTCTCTTCCAAAGATCCTACATCACATAATTCTCAAATATTTATTTCAGATTATTTGGCTTCGAACAATTATATACAACCATATACGGTTTTATAATTCTAAATGAATATGCATTTGTGACTCACCCACCTCAATCACCCAGAAGTCTATTCAGCAAAGACCAAACAAACGCCAGTAGCTAAGCATCCTGCCCACCACGGAAAGTTTTGACACTAGGACAGAACATAAATAACGGCCTCCTTTGTCTTCTTTCTACTCCTTAATTGCGCCCCACGGCGCAGTTTCCCCGCAGCCAGAATCCTTAGTTGACAAGAGGCGTTCAGAAATGTAGTACCTGTTGTGCCCGAAAGCGATTATTAACGCATTAGCAGTAACAACTTCACAGACCACGTACGCCCACACCAGAGAAAAGGATGTGTACCCTCGATCATCAAAATCCCTCGCCCGCTGTCCGCGCACTCGGAGTTCTGCAAGCTGGGGAAGTCCACAGGCCACTCCATGTACACGTCCCCGTCGAAGCCAGCAGGCTTTAATGGGGGGAGGGGGGCTGCTGATTTAGACTTCTCGGAGAAAAGAAAGAACGACCCCTCCCGCCCGCCGCAGGAAGAATTCTGCCCCAATAATGGCTCCAAGCCGAGGGAAGAGCAGGCTACGTCCGGGGCCCCTCCTCTCGCTCCGGGCTAGGCCAGAGCCCCTCCTCAGGCGCGGGTCCGAGACCTCTTCTCACCAGCTGGCAGGCCCCCGTGCTCGCCGCCTCCTAGCCTTCTCCACGATCGCCCGCCGCCCCGACTCTACTCCCAGCCAAGCTGACAACTCCCCACGCATCCACCTACCTCAGCCGCTAGTAGCCCAGCCCCTCAGCGCGCCCAGGGGCTGCCCATCGGCGGGGAACCACACGCTGGCGACGCTCCCTTCCCAGCCCGCTGCCTCTGCACTGCACGAAGAGCCCAAGACAGAGGGGAGGGGCAGGCAGCTAGAGAGGCCACGGCGAGGTGGCACCCGGCTCCCGGCTCCCGGCTCCCGGCTCGGGCCGCAGCCACCGCTCAGGTTCCTGCCCGGGACGCAAGAAGAGGCCGAAACAGCCCCGTAGTGCGAGGGGGCAGGGGTGGGGCGTGCGCGAGCTCGCGAGGACCGCGCACGCGCACGCACATCGCGAGATCCAATCTCCCGCCGACGACCAGCATGCAAACTCAAGGAAAGTAATGGGGGAAGCCAGGGTGCGCTTGCGCGTCGCGGAGACAGGCAGAAGGCGGGGCTTAGTCTCCAGCTTCTCAGGGTCTAGTGTAAACCCTGGGCTGCAGGCAGCCGCCAAAAAGGAAATAACTTCCTTACGTGGGTTTTTCATCCCAATTCTGTGATGCTGGATCTATATTACTGACCGCATTTCTCAGGTTACAGGATTAATAAATGGAGTCAGGAGTTGAGCCCAGCAGTCTTGTTTCAGAAACTGTGCTTTTAAGCACTGTTGGCACAAAGATTTAATGTTTTATTGTGCTAGGTGCTGCTTCAAGCAAATTAAAAAGACTGCCTCTGCCCTTTAGTTGCTTATGGATAGAGTGAGACCTCCATGTGCAAACAAAATGGAAGTATTCAAATAATAAGTGGTGTTTAGATCCTAAGGTCTAGAATTGTGGGATAATGAAACAAAAAAGCCTCCTTTTGTGGAACACCCTATAAGTTTTTACATCTATGACCTGGTCAGAATTGCCATATTCTTCATTCCACATCACAGGAACAATGGGACAAGTATTTGCTTACAAACTTGACCACCCTTTTATATAGTTATTGTGATTCTGGGGTATCAGTCACTCCATACAAATCCCTTAGTAGAAGGGGTTCTTCCTTCAATGAATTTGAAGATGTCAGAAAGGTCAGTATCCATAATTAGGAAGGCTGCTAAGAGGAAGACACTATTACAGAGTGGGAAGAGGCTAGAGGTGAGTGCCTGTCCTTTATGCCCAAGCAATCAAGAATGTTTGAGGATGCCTGGCCAGTGATGGCTCAGTAGTTGAACGTTGACCCATGCACTAAGATGTCACCGGTTCCATTTCTGGTCAGGGCACACACCCAGGATGTGGGCCCAGTCCCCAGTGGGGGCCATGCAGGAGGTGGCCAGTGATGTTCTCTCTCATTGATGTTTCTCTTTCTCCCTCTCCCTTCCTCTCACTCTAAAAATCAATAAAGAAAAAAAATTATAAAAAAAGAATGTTTGAGGATATAATCCTTAGCACCGATTTCTACAAACTTTGCAAAGCACTTGGCCAAGTTGTCCTGGCAGTAGGGAAGAAATGAGGAGCAACTTTTCAGTGTGAACACATAAACCAGGCAGGAAACCAAATTTAGTACATAAAACAGGCAAGCCTATTCATTTTCTGGCAGGCAGGGTTTCATAACTTGATTCTAAATATAATTCTAACTATTATAAAATACTAGGAAACAAGACTGGTCACACTAGTATTATTTATATATAAAAGGAAAATACCAATATATAAAAACCACTAAAATGTATACACATATTTGAGGGCATATTAAGTATCCTTCCAGAAAACATATTTAAAACGTTTTCTCTAAGCACAGCTTACATTTGAAGTGAACTTCGAGACTGCACTGTAGTTGCCTATACTGTATCACGACTACTTCAGACCCATAACTCTTTTTTTCTATTAATCCTCACCTGAGGATATTTTTCCATTTATCTTCAGAGAGGTAGGGCGGGAGGGGGAAAGAAGCTTTGCTATGAGAGAGACACACATTGACTGGTTGCCTCCCACACAACCCCAATCAGGGCTGGCACCCAACTGCAACCCAGATATGTGCCCTTGACTGGAACCCACGACTCTTTGGTCTGCAAGCTGACGCTCTAACCACTGAACTAATTCAGCCAAGGCCATAAGTCTAACTTTTACCTGAATTGGCATTTGTCATAAAACCACTTAAGAAACAGAAACTTTTGTACTAACAAGGTCAAGTGATTTGCAAGCCCAATGGAGAAGTAGCCAGAGTGTAACCAAGAAAGTCAGACATTTCTGGGTTTGAATGCCTTTTTGCCATTTGCCTCCTATGGTAGCTTGGGCAAATCACTGCTCTTTCCAAAAGTTTTCAAATGTGTGAAATGAACACAATGTCCTCCTTATACGGCTGTGAAATTAAATGAGTTAATAAGTGAAGACAGATGTGAATTTAAATCCTATGTCTACCACATAATAGCTGTATGACCATGAACGAGTGACTAGTCAATTCAATTCAACATGTATTTATTGAATGCAAGGTACTAATGATGCAGAACAGACGTGGTCCCAGACCTCAGGAAGTTTACAATTGGTGAGGTAGACAAAAACTCAGATAATCAGAATAATATTAAATGCAATAATCTGGTGTTTTCTGATAATGGTACAATGTATGACAAGTTCTGAAGGTAGAGATTTTTTTCAAGAGCATAGCCATTTATCATCCCTTCAATTGCCACGAGAGCGCACTTCTTTTTTGTTAATCCTCACTGGAGGATATTTATTTTATTTATTTATTTATTTATTTGTTTATCTATTTATTTATTTTAGGAAGATAGGGAAGAAGAGAGAGAAACATCGATGTGAGAGACACTACCCTAACGGGGGCCAGGGACAAACTGCAACCAAGGTACGTGCCCCTAGTGGAACTGAATCAGGGTCTCTCCGGTCCGTGGGCCGGCGCTCCAACCGCTGAGCCAAACCGGCCAGGGCTGGAGGATATTTTTTACATTGATTTTTTTTTTTAGAAAGAGAAGAAGGTGGCGGGGGGGGGGGGGGGGGGGGGGGGAAGGGGGGGAGAGAGGGAGAGGGAGGGAGAGAGAGAGAGAGAAACATCAATGTGTGAGGGACACACTGATTAGTTGCCGACCACTTGTGTCCCAACCAGGGTGTGAGCCCTTGACCTGAAATCAAATCCAGGACACTTCAGTCCAAGGGCCCACACTCTAACACTCTAACCACTGACCAACGCCAACCAGGGCACAAGAGCTCATTTTTAAATGTCACACTATTGCCCTAGCCGGTTTTGCTCAGTGGTTAGAGCGTTGGCCTGCGGTCCAAAGAGACCCAGGTTCGGTTCCCACTAAGGGCATGTACCTCAGTTGCAGTTTGTCCCCGGCCCTGGTTGGGTCATGCGGGTGGCAGCCACTCGATGTGTCCCTTTCACTTCAATGTTTCTCTCTTTCCCACTCTGTCTGAACAAAAAATGGAAAAATATCCTCGGGTGAGGATAAAATAAATAAATAAATAAATAAATAAATAAATAAATAAATAAATAAATAAATAAATAAATGTCACACTATTTGACTTACCTCCAAATTCTTCAAAGTATACACCCTTGTAATACAATTTAGACTTAATCCAACACTTTTAATTCCTTCTCCAACAGCTTCATCCTAGCCCAGGGTAAACTAGATCACATAGACAAATAATCAGTTAAAAAGATTTTTGAGTTATAAATGGTAATTGTATATATGCAAAAGGTAGGCGATAGAAGGAATTTGTCTAGAGTTGAGAGCTGGCTGCCTCTAAAGACCCTTTCAAATGAAGCAACAAGTGTTCTTAAATATTTTCATTTAAACTGAAAGATATACATAGAAAAAAATGGATCACACTCTCGAGAATTTAGTTTATCAGTAGCTGATGAATGTCATTACTAGATATACAGCTTATAGCAATATTTAAAGCTATAGCAATACTGAAAGATAGCATAAGAAAACCCACTCCTATTTACCCACTGTAATGATAATAGTACCAATATTTATTGAATGCTTACCATAGGCACAGTCTTTCTATGCTTTAAGGCTTTGTATGTTATTTCTTCACCTCATCTTCGTAACAACCCTGGGAAATAGGTATTATATCCCCATTTTATATATGGAATAACTGAGATGTTAAGCATTTAAGCAACTTGCCTAAGGTTGTCCAAGTACTCCCCCATATATGTGAATTTATTTTTAATTGTGTATATGAACAGTTACACCAATACTGTAACAAAATATTATACACATTTTATTTTATAACAACATATTATAAAACCTACTCAAAAAATGTAAAGGATGAGATATAAAAATACACAGGTGCTCCAGTATATTCTCCCTACTTTCCAATGGCTTGCTAACATGTGCACCGCTTTGTAGACCACTGCTTTGTATCACAGGAAGTCAAAATGCAAGGGCAAAAGAAAGTGAAGATTATCAGTGGTTTTCAAACTTGAATGTGTATCACAGAATCATCACCACCCCAGACACACCTGTAATAGCTACACCAGACCAATAAAAAACAGAGGAACTTGGGCTCTCTTTGAATTTCCCAGGCACTCACTCCCCTGTTCTCTCCACCAAGCTTTCCAAATCTGAAATGTGGGCCCTGGGATGGCTTAGGGGATGAAGAGGACTCTTTTTCAAAAGTCCACAGTATAGTTCTGGAAATCTCAGCTCCCAGAAGGCTCCCTTAGGCAAAGTTATGGAGAGGAAATACTGCCTTCAAGGATCTTGACATTGGATGGACCCAGGCACCTGACAGCCTCCTAGGAACTCTGGAATAACAGCCAAGGACACTTTAACATCCAAGGCTGCTAGACGTGCCTAAATTAATAGGCTGCTGAGCACCCATCTACTATGAAGTACCAAGTTCAAATGACATGCTTTTTTGTGGAAAAAGAGCACATTTCTCATACTGAATCCTCACATGTTCTTTATTCTATAATAGCCAAAACTATAAAAAGGGACTAATATTCAGAACATGTACTACCACGGTTTTCCAAATATTAAAAATAATTAGAATTTATAAAAAATTTTTTTAATAGTTACTGAAAAACTATGTGCCAAACTGCATTTTTTTTTTCATTATTAATTTTAGAGAGAGAGAAAGGGCAAGGAAGAGAGAAACAGAAACATTGATTGGCCGCCTTCTACATGCCCTACACTGGGGATTTGGCCCATAGCCTGGGCATGTGCCCTGACCGAGAATTGGACTGGCCACTTTTTGGTGCATGGGTCAATGCTTAACCACTGAGCAACAGCGGCTGGACGATTTTTATTTAATTCTGAAACTCTTACAATAATGATAACAGTGTCTAAGAGAGTAACTCTGAGTTCATGTTCTCCAAGGGAGTTCAAACTTTCTTTTTGTCTAAATAGTGTTTCCCTCCTTAACAGAACAAGGTTAATGTAAAGTAAAAATCATTTTTTTAAAAAAAATTTTAATTGATTTTAGAGAGAGAAAGAGAAACATAGATTTGTTGTTCTACTTATTTATGCATTCACTGACTGATTCTTGTATGTGCTCTGACCAGGTACCTAACCCACAACTTTGGCATATCAGGACAATGCTCTAACCAACTGAGCGATACCCATTCGGAGCAAGTTAAAATTTCTTTTTAGCCTGGCCAGTGTGGCTTAGTGGTTGAGTATCAACCCATGCACCAACAGGTTGCCAGTTCGATTACCTGTCAGGGTACATCTGGGGTTTCCAGCTTGATACCCAGTAGGGGACGTGCAGGAGGCAGTCAATCAATGGTTCTCTCTCCCTCCCCCTCTCCCTTCAAAAAAAAAAAAAAATCAATAAAAATGTATTTTTTAAATTTCTTTTTAGCCTGGCAAGTGTGGCGTAGTAAATTGAGCGTTGTCCCATGCACTGATAGGTCCTGACTCAATTACCAGTCAGGGCACATGCCCATATTACAGGCTGGATTCCCAGTGAGGGGCATGCAGGAGGCAGCCAGTAGATGTTTCTAGCTCACATTGATGTTACTATCTTTCTTTCCCTTCCTCTCTCTCTCTCTAAAAAATCAATAAACACACACACACACACACACACACGTGTGTGTATATATACATATAGGAATTAAAAAAACGTGTGTGTATATATATGTTTTTTAATTTTATTTATTTATTTTTCCTCACCCGAGGACATTTTTCCATATTTTGTTCAGATAGACAGGGAGGGAGAGACAGACAGACAGAAACATTGACGTGAAAGGGACACATCGAGTGGTTGCCACCCGCATGACCCAACCAGGGCCGGGGACAAACTGCAACCGAGGCACGTGCCCTTAGCGGGAACCGAACCCAGGTCTCTCTGGACCGCAGGTATACGCTCTAACCACTGAGCCAAACCGGCCAGGGCTTAAATTCCTTTTAAAGGCTTGAGTTTCAAAATTATAGAATCCTATAAGCTGATGCCATATTTGGAAGAGAACAAGGTCAAGAAAAAGAATCAAAAGTAAATTCCTCAGTCATGTGATTTGACAATATGTACTTAACATATATACATTTACACCAGCTAAGACAAGACACTAAAAAGGTGAGACCAGTAGTATTGTGGTAATTTTGAAAATAATACATTTATTTATTTCTACTTGGATTCCTGCCTGGGGAAAATGATAAGGTGATATAGAACTTATAATCTTATCAAATATCTGCAACTGATAACACATCAGAGAATCTTTACCTAGTGAGAGAAATGTAGCCACTATTCGCTCCAGAAAGCTGACCTAAGAACGTATATTTTTTAAGCAGTGTGTACAAAGATATTGTTATACTCCAAGTTAAAGGCCCCACTCAACTGAAATTTTATTAAGATGTTCTGATGGTTACACCACCTAAATAAAATAAAAAGTTAAGACAGCCCCTTTACCCCACCAGACTTATTCATTCATTCTTTTTCTTTCTCTTTATATTTACACACACATCTTTTTTAAACATTAACTTCAGCTTTTCATGCCGGAAGCAGAGGTATACGAAAATGGCATTAGACTCTAATTCTTATTTAAAATTATGTACCAAAATGTGAAGAACTTGTAGCTCCAAACTCAAATCTAAGAGGAAGAATATTCCCATGCACCACATTGGGCTAGCCACTCGGAACTCTTGCCTACTCTGAGAACTTGGCATCCGTCCTCACCTGTAAAGCACCAAGTGGAGCCCTGGCCTGTTTGGCTCAGCGGTTGGAGCATCGGCCTGTGGACCAGAGAGCCCCGGGTTCGGTTCCCACTAGGGGCGCATGCCTCGGTGGCAGTTTGTCCCCAGCCCCGGTTGGGGTCATGTGGGTGGTAACCGCTCGATGTGTCTCTCTCATGTTTCTCTCTCTCTCTTTCCATGTTTCTCTCTCTCTCTTCCTACCTCTCTCCATCCCCCTCTATCCCTCTGAAGAGAAAATGCAACAATGTCCTCAGGTGAGAATTTAAAAAAAAGCACCAAGTGGAGCATTTTATTAAACAAAGTGTAACTTTTTACTCTAGACTTCAACTACCACCGTCCCCACCCCACACCCCAGCTCCTATCTTAATATTATATATATCTGTCTGTCACTAAGACTTTAGCTGCCCTGGCCAGTGTGGCTAAGTGGTTAAAGCACTGGCCCAAGCACTGAGGGGTCTCGGGTTCAATTCCTGGTCAAGGGCATGTACCTTGGTTGCAGGTTCAATCCCTGGCCCTGGTTGGGGTATGTGTGGGAGACAACCAATCGATGTTGAGATGTTTCTTACTCTTACTCTCCCCCCACCCCCGACTCCCTCCTTTCCACTCTCTCTAAAAAAATCAATGGAAAAAATATCCTCCGGTGAGGATTAACCAGAATTTAAAACAAACAAACAAACAAAAAAACCCTTAGCTAATGGTTTCATTAAACAAAACAAGGCAGCATAGGGAAAAGAGCTCTCACACACCCAAGTTATAAATTTGGAGGCTTGGCTTTCTAGCTTCTAATTCTTAAGATGCTAATATGTTTCATAGGACTTATAATTCATAGGACCCCGATGCTTCATAGGACTTATAACTCAAGAGCTGGTTCTGCTCAAATACCTCTTTACATGTAGGGTCTGCCTACCTCAAAAGTATTGCAGTCACAGGTGCACTGTGACTACCAGCTGAACACCAATGTACACCAACAAGGCTAATGAGACATGAAATATATCAAACAATAAAGTTTTTAAAAGGAGCTGGAGAGAAGTTACCAAGTATTATTTAATTCTATACTCCCATTTCCATTCTAAGAGTGCCACTGTGGAAAAACACCAAATGGCACATGAACCTATTTTTTCCCCTAGAGCCTATCTGTCTTATGCCAAATACAAATACTACCAAAGACTAAGAGGTTTCTTCAGGAAAATGTTTTTAAATAGAACTGTATATTTTGGGTAGTAATTTGGCCAGAATTTTAAAATAAACATAGAGTGCAATATTTCACTCACATGATCACCTATGTAAACAAATTCAAATCAACAGCAGAAAACATTTCAGCAAAGATAATTTTAGGAAATTGCAGACTGAATCAACTTTATTTTATAAGAAATTTAGAAAACATGAGCAAATATTGATATTGCATTAAAAAACAAATTAGTCTATAAATCATTCAAATTTTTAAAATTAAAGAGTCAATATGACACTGAAAAAAATGTAGTAACAGAGAAATGTGTTTCATTTTTGAATAAAATACTATCAGTGGTTTATTACAACTAGATATACAAATGTAAAGGTAGTAATGCTAAAATGATAAAGAAAGCTGAATCAAAGTGATCCAGCAGGCTGAAGGAGCACCATGTCACCAATGTGGGACTGCCACATATTCTATCACAGGAACAAACTATCACAAGGTAAAAAAAAAACAAAAAAACAAATAAATAAATTGTGGGGAAAAAAGGAGCCCATAATGCCTGGAATTTTAGAGTAAATGGTTTATTTGGTTCTTTTGTTACATATGTTTTGTCTGTTTTCTTCCTCTAAGAAAGAGAGTGGATATGTGAGGCATCTAAGAATATTTCCCAGTTATATCGTGGTTTTTCGGTAATGATACTATATTGTAGAAACAATGATCAATACTTGTTGTCACTTTAACTACTTAATGTACTGTTAAAATGATTTAACGCCTATAGTATGATTTCATTTTTTTTCTTTTCTAAAAACTCTAAGTCAAGAATATTCAAAGGAACTATTTCTTAATTTAAGAAACACGTCAATTTAATTCCTGAAATTTTTATTTTTTCAAGAAGTGACAATAATATGAAGTTCTAATATATCAGGAGCCTGGAAAAGAGTATCAGATAATCTGATTATAATAATTTGAATTAGAATGATCAGGAAATATATCCTAGGGATCAAAATGTAATTTATGATTCCTTGTGAACTAAATTTCACTGAGAGATACTTATGGCTAAGTTTAATAAAACATGGGTATCATAATGTTTGAATCATTTTAAAGAAAATTCACAACCTACACAATAATCCCAAAGAAAACCAGATTAAAATCAGTAGGGTATTTATATGTACAGATGTATACACAAATACTTTCAGGGTGGAAGGAATCATATTAATAATTACGGGTTACAAATCACTTTTAAAAAAAATGAAGATAAGAAAATAGTAGCTGGGTGTAGAGCCAGTGGTTGTGAGGGGAACCTAAAAGTAGTAAATACTAACATTCTTTGCAGTGTAAAGAAATGCAAAAGACTCTTATACTACAAAATTTTAATTTTACAAAACCAAAAGCAATACAATTATTGCCCATTTATGATGATAAAAATTGAAACAAAAACTCTGAACCCATTTTGTAAAAATTCTATTATAACATTCTTAAATCCAGTTCATATTTTTCCACTGAGTCAAATAAGATTTAAACTCAAGGGAGACACAAAATTAGACAGAATTTTACCATTTTCTGAAAAGATGATCACAATTTCATTCCAAGAGGATAAGGTGAATAACCCCTTAGCAACTTGTATACTTTATTACCTTCAATAAAAAGTCCAAATAGTTCCACTTTTTAAAACTTCTGGAATACTATCCAGATAATAAATGTTGATATTTAAGCTTGACATTAAAGGACATGACACTCTGAAAATAGGCCTGCTTTAAATACAGTCTGATAATTCCAGGGGTACTTACGGCAAGAAGATATCTTTAGCAAATACTGGTTTCTTGTATTTAAAAAAACAGCAAGGCAGAATTTAAAAAAAAAAATCTTAATTTACAATACATTGTAAACTGCACACAACAATTGCCACATGTATCATGACCAGTATAGGTAAAAAGCTTTTTCCAGATGTTTTTATAAGACTTTGTATCTTCCTTTATTTGTTGGTTGGTATGAATTTTGCTATAATAGAAAATAAAAGACACATGGTAAGAAAAAGCAAAATAAAAAAAGAGAGAGAAACATATATTAAGAAAATTTCCTTTACAAACTTACAAAACTATCAGATATTTAAAATTTTTTTAATGTTAGTATTACATGGAGGAAGAAAGAACTGTTCAATAACTACCTAAACATTTTCTGTATTCTCCTGGTTACTCCTTGACAACTGTTTTGAACCAACTTAATGGTTGTGACATCAAGGTTCTTTTTCTATCATTCCTTGGTGAAATAGTCTTAAGCACTTGATTTAAAGGTTTTCTTTTCCCTCTTGTTTTGTGTACTTTCTATTCTTTAAATTTTTTATCCTCACCAAAAAGAATGTTTTGCAAGTTGAATTTTAGAAAAACCCTCAAAAACACGTTCTCAGAGAAAGGATAAAGTTTCCTTTCAAAGGGCCCAATGTACAACTGTAAGGAAAGATTACAAGCTTCAACTGATACTAAAGACACAGGGATAAAGGTAGTCTATAAAAGGTGCTTTTCCAAAATCAAATTAAGTCCTTACTTAAGTTTAAAAATACTGATAACACCTGTACTGGCAAAAATGCAAAGAAACTAGAATTTTCATGCAATGCTGGGAAGACTGTAAATTGGTATAACCACTTTGGAAAATTATTCAGTAATATCAGCTAAACCACATATACCTTATAATGAGCAATTCTACTTCAGGGTTTATATTCAAGAGAAAGCCCATTAATGTGTATCAAAGACACATGGAATAATATGTTTATAGAAACATTATTCATAAAACCTAAAAATTTAAATAGACCCAAAGTCCAACATATAAATGAATTGTGGTATATTCATACAATTAAATACTATATAGCTGTGACAAAGAATGAATTACTACTGCTTCATGCAATAAGGACTGATTTCCTCAAAGTAATGTAGAGTGAAAGAAATTAGATACAAAAGAGTACAGAGCATTTGATTCCACTTCACATGGAATTAAAAAATAGGCAAAACTAATCTATGATGTTAAAAGTCAGAATATTGTTACATTTGGGGGATATGAATCTTGACAAGGGGCATGAGGGGGACTCTAGGATGTTGGTAAATGTTCTATATTTCTTGATCTGGATAGTGATCACATTGGTGTGCTTATTACTTTGTGAAAATTCATCAAGCTACATGTTTGTGATTTGTATACTTTTCTGTCCTTATATTATAGTCTAATAAAACATTTACTAAAACAAGTAAATAAGTCCTTGAGGTTTTCACTCACCAGCCGGATCAGTTCTTCTTTTATGAGCCTGGTGATTTCTGCCTTTGCTTTCTGCACGGCCAGTTCATTAGCACCTGGTGAGCAAGTGGAAATCATTATTTGTATGACTAGATTTATACTGGATATTTATTCATGTTCTGGAGAGCCACCAGGAATACTGTAAGTGATTTTCAGGAATATTGTGCTACCTGCCAAAAAATAGCCTTTCAATAACTGGTGAAATATCATCTACATTATATAATGGCTGCCTACTTTCTCACTACTTTTAGAGTTTCTTCTGCCCCCCCTTATTGATTTTAGAGAGAGAGGAAGTGAGAGGGAGATAGAAACATCGATGACAGAGAACACTGAATGGCCGCCTCCTGCATGCGCCCCCCTGGGGATCAGGCCCACAACCTGGGCATGTGTCCTGACCGGGAATCATACTGGTGACCTCTTGGTGCATGGGTCATCGACGCTCAACCACTGAACCACACCGGTTGGACCAGGATTTCAAATGTAATCAATAAGGTCACATTATGTGTAGTGTTAAAGAGTTCTTGGTATGTTGATTAAAGACAGTGAAGAAAAAATGATTAGCAACTTATGTAAGAGTAAGAAAAAGCTAAAGGAAACATAACTTCCTGTCCTGGCCAGTTTGGCTTCGTGGTTAGAGCGTCGTCCCACAGACCAAAGAGTAGCAGGTTCAATTCCGGTCAAAGGCATGAACCTTGGTTGCAATTCAATCCCCAGCCCTCTCTAAAAAAAAATCAATTAAAAACATATTTTAAAAAAAAGGCATGCTGCCTTGGCCAGTGTGGCTCAGTTGACTGAGCATCGTCTGTGCACCAAAAGGTCAACTATTTGATTCCTGGTCACAGCTCATGCCCAAATTGAGGATTTGGTCCCCAGTTGGGGTGCAAAAAGAAGGCAACCAATGTTTTTCTCCCTTCCTCTCCATTTCTCTCTTTCTAAAAATCAATAAAAACATATTTAAAAGGAAAGAAAGGCCCTGCTGATGTGGCTCAGCGGACTGAGTGTCATCCTATGAACTGAAAGGTCCCAGTTTGATTCCAGTCAGGGCACATGCCCGGGTTGTGGGCTCGATCCCTGATGGGGGACATGAAGGAGGCAGCAGATCAATGTTTCTCGCTCACATCAATGTTTCTATCTCTCTCCCTTACTCTCTATCTAAAAAAAAAAAAAAAAAAAATCAATAAAAAATATTTTAAAAGAGAGAGAGAGAGAGATAAAGAAAGGCATGCTTAAATAATGAAGAGTAAAAGAAATATGTAGTGGTTGGAAAAAAGAGTGGGAAAGAACATATCAAGGTAGCCAAGTGGCTGGGGCAGGCTGAAGACATTTATTCACAGAGTTATTTCAAGAAACATTGCTATATGCTATATTATGAGAGATTCATTGCATGAAGAACTCCACGCTCTTTATAATCTTGCTAGGCTACTAGAAAAATAAAATTGTAAAGTATTACAACAGAAATAAGTAGCTTGGAAGTAGTTTACCAAAATAACTTAAAAATTTGTTTTTCCTTTACTGAATTTTAGAGAGAGAGGAAGGCAGAGGGAGAGAGATATAGAAACATCGATGACAGAGAACATTGATCGGCCATCTCCTGCATGCCCCTTACTGGGGATCGGGCCCACAACCTGGGCTTGTGCCCTGACCTTTGGAAATCAAACCAGTGACCTCTTGGTGCATGAGTCAACGCTCAACCACTGAGCCACACCAGATGGACAAGTTAACTTTTAAATATTACTTCTATGCCCTGGCCAGGCGGCTCAGTTGGTTGGGTACACCAAGAGATAGCGAGTTCCATTCCTGGTCAGGGCACATACCCAAGGTACAGGTTTGATACTGCGATCTCCTATTGGGGCTTGAGCAGGAGGCAACCAATTGATGTTCCTCTCCCCCTCTCTAAAAAAATTATATATCAATTACTCATTCCAAGCATCTCTCCCTGACTTCCAGACAGTTAAATGTTTGGGGTTTTTTTCCTATTTATCTTCAGACAGAGTGGGAGGGAAAGAGAAACATCAATGTGAGAGGAACACATCGATTGGTTGCCTCCTGCACAACTCCACCCAGGGCAGGGGACGAACTGCAACCGAGGTACATGCCCTTAGCCGGAATCAAACCTGAGATCCATTGGTTCATAGGTCAACGCTCTACCGTTGGCCAGGGCCAGTTAAGTGTTTTTTTCCTCGGTGCTCTCAGAGGATTGTGTTCATACCACCATGAAAGCACACCTTTTAGTCAAAATGGACAAAATGTTTTTTTCTAACTAGATGTGAACAGTAAAGAAGAGGTACAAAGTAAGATCCTAAAAAGAGATGAGCAGCAAGTAAAGTAAGAAGTAATAAAGAAGATACTCTGAATCTAAGAGGAAGAACAGGTATTATCAGCAGTGATGGTGGGTGAAATTCAATTCTGAGATCACTGTAATTGAGGTGCTCATGGGACATTAGTTGGAAATGTCAGTAATGCCAATGAAAATATGGACCAGCAGTTCAGAAGAGATGGAGATTAGTGAGCCATCAAGGGAATATGTGGAAAGATCTAAGGCCAGGGGACAAGAACAGGGAGTAGGTACATATAGATAGCACAGTATACACTAAGGGGAAAAGAGCCAGACCAAAGAAGCAGACTAGGGATTAAGGACTAGGAGTGACATGTCAAAGAATAAAAGGAAAACGGGAGCTGCAACATAGAGAACTATATGTAGAGAACTATAGTTTAATCATTCTATGTAAGAAAACTAAATGAGGAAAATAATTCACAAATGGGAAATTCATCCCTGTTATTACATGTGAATAACCATTCAGATCCCAGAGAGAGGAAAGGAGGAGTGAAGGGGAGAATGAGGAGGAAAAGGAGGACGAGGGGGAGGAAGAAGAGGCAGAGGGAGAAGGAACATTTTAACAATAGGAAGGAAAGGGCCATGGGTATGGCTGTGAAGTCATAGTAACATATCTAATCTAAATCCTATAGCTCCACCAACTACCAATCACGACATTCTAAACTGTGGGTGCTGGAAGGGAAGAGAGAGAGATGAGAATGAAAAAGGTAGAATCAAGAGCCAAGCCAGACTGAAAATTACAACCAAAATGAAATTCATGAGGAAAATACGATACTTGGCATGAGTTGGTGTGAAGCTTGTTGATATTTTGTGCTATTTTAAAAAGGAAAATGACTCTCACCTAGACACAAATGGAAGAATAAGTTTTCTATTTTAGTTCAAGCCTGACCATTTGGAGCAGTTTAAATTTTTTACTTACATAGCTTCTTTAGGTAATAGGTTACATATGTTTATAAGTTGCCATGAAAAAGAGGCATTTCCTTTCATTGGTCCTAAAACAACTCTGGCTGCTTTTAAGGGATTCTCCACTAGTAAAAAGAGGGTCACAAAACAGGCTATAAATTATACAGGGTGGCTAGGCATGTAAGTCCTTCCTGTTCTCCTTCCCGCTGCCTGGTGGGAGGCCTGGAGCTGCTGAGCCTACATAGCCTCCAAGGAGCCAGGCAGTGGGGTCCCTGCAATTACAGAACTAGAAACAGATGACACTAGGCTCCTTCCAACACCTGTTTTCATCCTATTAGTGTTCAGTTGATTTGGTTGGAGTTTCAAAAACTACAAGATCTTTTAAAATCTAATAATCTATGAAAAATTTCAAAGATTTAGATCATTTTAATTACCAATTTCCAGCTCTTATTCAGCATCTTATGTCTCTAGAATTTTTAAGATTAATTTTTAGCAAGTTATCTTTTTAGTTAGAAATATTAGACATTATTTCCTGAGCACAAGTTGACAGTGAAGAGAAGTAATCAGAACCAACCTAGGTAGAAAGAAAAGTCAGCAGAAGCTGTGAGCTTTGCACTTCACTGAGAGGTGTGTTCTGATAAAGCTGTATGTAAATTGAACTTCAATACATTAATTATACTATATTAAACAAGCATAATTACCTTTAAATTAATAAGTTTGACACAGAGGATCCTTTTTCAGAGCGGTCATGTCTCTGATTTACCTCCTTATAAGGCAGGCTTTTAAAGTATTGCTTTTGCTTAAATAATACTCATGATACTCAAGCTGAAGCTAAAGGCTGACTCCATGTATACCAAAGATTTTATCATCACCCTGGCCAAGTAGCTCAGTTGGTTAGAGCATAGATTTACCATAGATACACCAAAGATTTTATCATCAGATTCCACTGGATGACACTGTGTCTCCATCCTGCATGATGACCTAATGAACATAGCAGTAAGGGCAACCTGTCCAGGTCCATATGCAGAAAGATACTAGTGTAATTTTCTCTCTTTGAAGATCTGGGTGCCAGCAATCCCCATCTTACTATATAATAAAAAAGAGTGTCACATGATTTAGAAACACACTGAGTCACTGGCAGACCAAAAGTCTTTCAGGATACATAAAAGGGTGCCATTTAAAAGCTTGACTTAAAATAGATATGAGTCAGTTTATCAAAGTCACAGTCACAAACAAAAAAATAAAATTTGCCTACTTCTTCACCCACTTAAAAACCATTTAAAAACATGTATGAATCTTATAATACAGTAATGGTAAAATGGCAATAACATGGGAAATATAAATGCTGCATTTGAGTTTTACCTTTGCCACAATTAACACTAATTAATTTTTAAAAATCCAATAGTAAGAGTGACATTGGTGAAAATGGCAGAGCAGGGAACTCAAAAAGCTTGTTCCTCCACAAAAGCAGCAAATAAACTTGCAAAAACTATTAAAATAAACTTTATCAGAACTCTGGAAACTAATCAAAAGTTTATAGCAACCAGGCAAGGACTCATTTAAAAAAAAAGAAAACAGTTGAATCTTGGTAGCAGAAGTTTTTCAGTGTTTTAACTTACTCTGACCCCATCAGGCATTTTTGGTCAGGAAACAATTTCTATTTGGAGGTAAATGGGAGGCACACTGCACACGTATTTTTCGTATTGTAGTCTTTATACTAAGAAGCCACATAAAATAATCTGAGGTCACCAATTAATATAGCAAAGTTACTAAATAGGGACAATACCAATTTATTTCCTGTGAAATTCTCTTTGGTTTGGTGAGAAAAAAAAAAAACAACCCTAAAAATAATTCCTAACATATAATTAAATCACTTTAGTTAATATTCATTTCACTAAAATCTTTTTAACAACATGCTTTCAATGGATCTGAATAATCTTCCATTAATCTTCCTAACAACAAACTTTACTTTTTTTTTAAATTTTATTTTGGTGTGTGCCCCTAGCGGGAACCAAACCCAGGACTCTCTGGTCCACAGGCCAACACCCTACCACCACTGAGCCAAACTGGCTATGGCCAAACTTCATTTTTTTAAAAATGTTTTTATTTTAAAGAGGGGGGGAGAGAGAAACATTGATGTGAGAGAAAAACATCGATGTGAGAGCAGAGCACTGACTGGCTGCCTCTTGTAAGCCCCCCACTGGGGACTGAAACCCCAACCAGGGCACGTGCCCTGACCGGGAATCAAACCAGCAACCACTTGGTGCATGGGAAGATGTCCAACCAACTGAGCCACACTGGTCAGTTGAATATTGTTGTTGGAGCTACATTCAAAGTCACTGCATTCTAGGAAGAGCAACACAAGAAGTAAAAATAAATTATAATTTCCATGTGATAAGTACTATGAAGAAAAACAAAGTAGGTAAAGAGCTATACAGAGTGTAATGTGGGATCAGGCAAGGCCTCCTTGTTAGAACTGATGTGTATGACTGAAAGTACTAGACTGGTACCTGAGATTATACAACGTGTGGAAGCAGCTCCTTTGCAGCCATCTAAACCCTTTAAGCACTAGGTATACAGACTTCAGGCTTACACAACACATGAAGTAAACTTCCCCACAACTCCAACAACAGTATTCAACAAGTATTTAGTTCATTAAAGAGATGAAATGGACCTGGCTGGTCCACTTAAAAAGTCTATGAAAAGATGTTCAGATTAAATACAAACAAAGGAAGACAGATTGTCCTACCATGCAGTGGCATAACACATTAGGAAAATAAATAAAAACTATCTTTTTGAATTCACACACGAATGTATGAAATAAGGTTAAAAAGCAAACCAGATCACTCTTAGTTAATGCATTACTTATATCCTTTGAGTTATGGTATTATTTGTTCTTTTGTTATTTTTTTAAAAGTCTGCATGAACTTTTATGGGCATAATTTCAGAGGCACTATTTGCTTAAACATTCATTAAGTAGATTATTAATATAGTTGATTTACTTTCTAACCTAAACTTTGGCCAGAATGTTCTACATAATAGAAATATAAACAGATTGCCCAGCCGGTGTAGTTCAGTGGCTGAGCGTCAACCCAAGAGGTCGCCGGTTCAATTCCTGGTCAGGGCACATGCCCAGGTTGTGAGACAAATCCCCAGTGTGGGGCATGCAGGAGGCGGCCAATAGATGTTCTCTGTCATTGATGCTTCTATCTCTCTCCCCCTCTCCGTTCTTCTCTAAAATTCATAAAGAAAAAAAAAGTATAAACAGATGAATCCTTAAAAGAAAAATCATTTTCCTTCATAGAGATTTTCAAATTTGACTGAATTATCAAAACTGAAAGAGTCCCTGACACAGATCATTCACCTTTGTATGTGTACGAAACTTCTAAATAAAAACCTCAAGTAACATGCGATACTATTTTTTATAGGTATTCCTTATTTTCTAGAACTGATTTCATATTCTATTACATCTGTATCAACCTTGGAACAGAACCAAAGTACATACTTTCAATTGCCAAGTAAATTTTCCGCTCTCCTTCCTTGGGTTCCTTGCCAGGTGGGAAGTATGTTCCTCTGATTGTAATTGCAGCTTCAGAATACTCACTGATTCTCTGCAGAGCTTCCTTAGAGGTAACTTTCCACCTAGCAGTCTATAAAAGAAAGGGTGGGGTAAAAATCACTCCATAATAAAATTTATAAACTGAGCGCGCTGACCAAAAAATCGGTTGCCTAAATCACATTATGAACAATATTAAGATTATAATTAACCACTTTATCATAAATTCATTTAAATCCTAACATACCTAGGACATATTCATAAAAATGCAATTTCTATTTTCTTCCCCATCTAGATAAAAAGTAAAGTAACTAGTAAAATGTTCATAGCACTGTGTAAAGTATATGATTTTCTAACCACTATGCTGTACAACTGAAACTAATACAAAATAATATTGACTGTAAATTGTAATTTAAAATAAATTTTTAAGTAAAACTGAATCAAACAAAATGTTAATGGGTTTTAAAGAAGGCATTTTCACTCCTATGAAGCAAAAGTTTCTACTCTACAAAAAAATGTTTAAACCTGTCACTTGCCTGTGGGAAGTCATTGATCTCTAATTCTTCCTCATATCTCTTAAAAGATTCGTTCTGCCCACCATCCTGTCTCTCCTCTTCTTGTTTTTCCAAAGGCACATAATTGAGCTTAGCATTGATCTTCTCAGCAAGTTGCTCTGCAATGGTTTTTGCAGACACCGTAGGAGCTAGGATGGTGCCACCTCTGAGAATTGCATTGGTGGCCTGTTGCATCACATCCTGCAATTAAAGAAGACCTCCAGTCAAATCTCAAATGAGGGCAGAGAAAAGATCGGGGACCCCACCAATTATTCTCTGAAAAGCCACCAATTAAAAGCATCTTTCTAATGTAGAGTCCTATCATGTGTGTAATTAGTCAATATATATATTTAAATGATAGCCTATTGTATCTCTTACTTCAATAAGGAAACTAAAAAACATTCAGCACTATATTTAAAGTTATACTGGATTGCCCTGGCTGGTTTGGCTCAGCGGTTAGAGCGTCGGCCTGCGGTCCAGAGAGACCTGGGTTCAGTTCCCACTAGGGGCATGTATCTCGGTTGCAGTTTGTCCCTGGCCCTGGTTGGGTCATGTGGATGGCAACCACTCCATGTGTCCCTTTCATGCCGGTTTTGCGCTCTCTCTCTCTCTTCCCCTCTCTCCCTCCCGCTCTGTCGGAACAAAAAATGGAAAAATGTCCTCAGGTGAGGATAAAAAAAAAGTTATACTGGATCATAGCCCTGGTCGGAGTGGCTCAGTTGGCTGGAGAGTCATCTCATACACCAGAAAGATGGTGGGTTCGATTCCCAGTCAGGGCACATGCAGGAGGCAACTAATCAGTATTTCCCTCTCACATAAATGTTTCTTGTTTTCTCTCTAAAGATCAGGAGGAAAAATTTAAAGGTGCAAAAAATTGCATTGATAAAAAGTAAGAAAAAAAGTTCTGCTGAATCACAGATAATTAGGGAACTTCTGATATTAAACATAGCATATTTCTAAAATCATTTACATGCTTTGGGGCTCCCAGGAATTTCCTCTGAATTAGAATTTTTGTCTACTATAACCAATGAGTTTCTCCTCTTCCCATGGTGCAACCCAACATTCAATAAATTATAGTAAATGACTTACACAAGTTTTAGCTTTTTAATTTGAACTTAATTTTACTATATGCCTAATATGGACAGAATTCTTCTGTGGGTAATACTTGACTCATACTTCAAGCTTTTCCAACAACAGTGAAAAGTTACAGCCATTTGATTTCTCTAATAAAGAGTTATTAGCAGTATTAATCCCAGAGAATTTAGGTATAGCCATCCCTGTTCTCCGAGGTGGACACTAAACACTTTATAAGTCACTGGCTAAACAAAACAGATTCAGAGACCAGCAGCTCCAAGCCTGGTTGTGGCTGCCTCGCTCAATCAGTCCACTAGCTTGGTCATCCCAGTTTAGGTGCTACAGACCTGAACCTATATAGCCTACTGGAGAGAGGGCCTACAGGTCCCCAAACTCTAAAAATCTTCAAAATACTGTTAAAATTAACAAACTAGTCTTTGGAAATGCTATGAAAATATACTCTTAGTTAAAAATTTTAAAAGTTCTGAAGAGAAAGATAACATGTGAAATGTTTAACACATTTTTCTACTGTTTAAACCCATGTTAGTTTCAGTCATATAACTGTTTGTACTTCCAAGAAACTGTTTGTGTGCCCCAAAACCCACCCAATAAAAGCAGATCAAGAGAGAAAAAGAGCTATTTCTCTAAGATTCTGATAAAAGCAATAAGAATAGTACTTTAGCCCTGGCCAGTTTGGCTCAGCGGTTAGAGCGTTGGCCCGTGGAACAGAGAGTCCCAGGTTCAGTTCCCGCTAAGAGCACATACCTAAGTGGCAGTTTGTCCCTGACCCCGATTGGGGTGGTGTGGGTGGCAGCCACTCGATGTGTCTCTCTCATGTCGATGTTAATCTCTCTTTCTTTCTCCCTCTCTCCCTCCCATTCTACCTGAAGATAAATGCAAAAATGTCCTTGGGTGAGGATGAAAAAAAAAAAAAAAACAAGAATAGTACTTTATAAAACTCTGCATGGCTAACATGCTTAACAGGCCTTCCGGAATAGACATTAAGACTTCAGTTAACCACATACTAGAGAAATCATCCAAATGCAATAATCAAGAATTCTGTATTCAGAATGTTAAACTCTCACTAACTTAATGTCTAGTGGACTTGCTGTTCACTTCTGCCAACATAATTCCTAAAAAGTATTTAAATCAAAGAACTTATAGAAAGTTGTGACTAAATCTCGGAACAAATTACTTAATACCTGAGACTCTATGCCCAAATTCTTCTGAGCATTGATTCTAAGAGCCAATCTCTTAGCAATTTCTAATTTCTCAGCATTTCCTGCAGTTGGAGCAGGAACACTAGATGTTCCAGGAGCAGCCATATCCTTCACTCTCTTCTTTGAATTAAACATGCTTTCAATTTGCTCATCAATCTAAACAAAGCAAAACAAAAAGGTTAGCAAAGTAGGATTAAAATACCAATTTAGGTATACCAAAAGTCTAGAATTAGTTACGTTTATGTTAATTCAATCACAGATACACAGGAAAATATACCAGCTATTAGTTAAAGGCAACACATTTCATTTTTAAAAATCAGTTGTCTATGGTGAAAAATAAAATAAAATAGACATAATGCTACACGAACTACTTATGCAGACTCCTGAGTGGTCCAGAAAATACATCCCAGTTCAGCAAATAAGGAATGTGTGCTATCTAGACAGAGCAGCCAACATGATGCGTCTGAGATTCTCCAGCGTACAGGCCTCGAAGACAAATTATACTGCAATGAAAGAGGCTGGAAGGTCAATAACTTAAGGCCAGTGGACAGTTAAAAAAAAAAAAAAGCCAATGATTCTCAGGGCCAATGGTACAACACATTCCTAAAATAAAGTTCCCAAAATTCTCCCAAACTCCTAACATACAACTGAATTTGCTTTAAAAAATGGATAAAAGCCCAGCCAGAGTGGCTGTTGTTTGAACATCGCTCCATGGACCAAGAGGTCACCAGTTTGATTTTCAGTTGGGGCACATGCTCGGGTTGCAGGCTCGATCCCTGGTGGGGGACATGCAGGAGGCAGCCAATTGATGTTTCCCTCTCATGGATGTTTCTATTTCTCTCTCTCTCTAAAAAACAAAAACAAAAAAAAAATTATAAAAACCAAAAACTGGGTAACAGAATCAAAAAAGACTACTTTACAGCTTTCTTCCTTGAAGCCAAGAACGGAAAGAAATGAAGATTCGTTTCCCCATCAAAGCAAAAGTAATGCCGAAAGCCTCTCCGCCTGCTCCCCAGGAATCATGATTCCTACTGTGACTTTGCAATTCTCAGGTTTACGACATCTACCTTAAAAACTATTTGCATTTCCTTTTAACCATGTCTTTTGCCTCAAAATGATGACTGACACTGCCAAATAATGAGACTGTAAACCCCTTCATATACTCAGATTAGGCTAATAAAGCCTTATCTTCTAAATCTCAAATGCAGAGGAAATTTTGTTCAGGGCTTAAATTTAATTAGATTAATTTAGAAAAGTCCTTTTACTAAACAGCTTCTTTTTTTAAATATTTGTTATCTATCCCAGCTGATATGGCTCAGGGTTGAGTGTCAACCCATGGACTAAAAGGTCACCAGTTTGATTCCCAGTCAGGGCACATGCCCAGGTTTCAGGCTTAATCCCTAGTAGGAGTTATGCAGGGGGCAGCCGATTGATGTTTCTCTCATCAATGTTTCTATCTACCTCTCTAAAAAAAATCAATAAAACAGCCCTGGCTGGTTTGGCTCAATGGTTAGAGTGTCGGCCCGCGGACCAGAGAGTCCCGGGTTCAGTTCCCACTAAGGGCATGTACCTTAGTTGGGTTTGTTGCTGGCCCCAGTGGGGGTCAGGTGGCTGGCAACCAGTTAATGTGTATCTCTCACATCAATGTTTCTCTCTCTTTCTTCCTCCCTCTCTCCCTCCCACTATATCTGAAGAAAAATGCAAAAATGTCCTTGGGTGTGGATAAAAAAAGACAATAAAACACATTTTTAAAAATTATATATGTTATCTAATAAGGGGTTTTCGTTATCAACTACTTTTAAACTTAACATTTAACTGAGTAAAACTTTTATATTAAACAGCATATATACCATTAAAATCCAAAACAAACACACAAAATCAGGAATGGGGAATGTGTATGGTGCTAGTTGGCAGGGATAACTTTACTTTTGATTTTATTCACTCCGGCATTGTTCTAATTCTTTACCAAAAGTATATATTACTTAAACAAGAGAAACAATAAACATATTTCATTTTGAGATTTAAAAAAAATTTTCAAAGTGACAAAAAAACTGAGGTGTAAAAACAGGGCCATAAGTTCTTTATTATTCCTCCGTTCAAGAGGTGGAGCCTGTTCTTGAGTGTAGGCTGGACTGTGACTTGCTTCATGGAAGTGCTAGAGACTAGTCATAAAAGGCACTAAGTCTTCCTCTTTGCTCTCTCTAGGATCACTTGGTCTGGGAAAAGGCCTCTGTCATGCTGTGAGGACATGCAGGCAGAGTAGTAAAGAACAGAAGCATTCTGCCAACATCAAAGTAAGTTAGCCATCTTGGCAGAAGATGGTCCTGCATCACTGCAGCCTGGGACAACAGCTTGACTTCAACCTCATGAGACCCTAAGCCAGAACTACTTGGCTAAACTGATCCTGATTTCCTGACCCTCAGGAGCAGTGAGATGATAAATGTTTATTGTTTTAACCTATTACGCTTGGACTGACTTGTTATACCATTAGAGACCACTGAAGCACATGCTTAATTGGATTATAAACCAGTCTGGCATATTAGGAAGAAATGGTCTGGGGTTAATAGGAGACCTGGGTTCTGGTCCTGGGTATGCTTAACAGTCAGCGTGGCCGTGGACTAAATACTTTTCTGGACCTTAATTTCCTCAAATGACAAGAACAGATTCAATTCCTGATTTCCAAAATTGTGTTCTAAGCTAATGTTTAATAGCATATGTCTAAAAATATTGTATGATCAGAGATGGAATATGTTGGAAAATTTCTGGGTTAAGCAAAGTTAAACAAGCTTCTTTAATTAGTAACTTCCCACATCCTTTGATATGCTAATACAACTACTAGTGGTATATACTGGGCAGATTTTTCAAAATTCCTTTATAATGAAAACATTTTCTTGGATACCCCTTCACTCCTTTTATGAGTGAAACGTAACAGTCTGAAAAACCTATAAAAAAAATCTTCTTCTATAGATTAAGCTGCTGGGGAGTTAGGGTTCCAAATACTCGGTGAAACTTTCAACTTGCTAAGTCCTCAGGATCCCCCTTCACTAGGTCACAAATAATTCCATTAGCTAAGAACACAGACTGTAACATAGAATGAAATGGATATAGGTCCCAACTCATCTCCATGATAGCTGTATAAACCTGAAAAGGTTATTATTTGTTTAAGCCTCAATCTCCTCAATTATAAAATGGGAATACTCGAGTATCTACTTCATATAGCTACCATAAAGAAAACAAAATGGCCCTGGACGGTTTGGTTCAGCGGTTAGAGCGTCGGCCTGCAGTCCTGAGAGACCCGGGTTCGGTTCCTGCTAAGGGCGCGTACCTCGGTTGCAGTTTGTCCCCGGCCCTGGTCGGTTGTGCGGGTGGCAGCCACTCGATGCATTCCTTTCACATCGATGTTTCTCTCTCTCTCTCTCTGTTCCTCTCTCTCCCTCCCACTCTACCTGAACAAAAAATGGAAAAATGTCCTCGGGTGAGGATAAAAAAAAGAAAACAAAATGTTCCCTGTGAAGCACTTGGCACAGTGCACATGGCACTTAGTAGCATACAATAAATGTTGACTATTATCATTAATGAGGATGTTCTACAACAATTAAATTTTAAAAGATCAACAATATTTCTGACCAGTGTGGCTCAGTGGACTGAGCGTCATTCCCTGAACTGAGAGGTCCCAGTTCAATTCCCGGTCAGGGCACATGCCCGGGTTGCAAGCTCAATCCCCAGTCAGGGGCATGCAGGAGCCAGCTGATCAATGTTTCTCTCTCACATCAATGCTTCTATCTCGCTCTCTAAAAATCAATAAAAACATTTTTAAAAAAGGATTAACATTAGTACCAATGTAGCTAAAGATATGGGGAGCTGAGCACTCTGACATACCACTACAATGAGTGCAAATTAGAACACTCATCTTGCTGTAGGACAATCTGACCAAATTAAATATAATTTTTTGATTGGCAATTCCTTTTATAAACTCTTCCTCGAGACTGAATCTGATGAATGTGCAAAGTTAAATGTTCAAGGATGAGCAATGAAGTGTAGTTTCTAATAGTAAGGAACTATATATTCCTTGCCATGGCCAGTTTAGCTCAGTGGTTAGACTGTCGGCCCTTAGACTGACAGTCACAGGTTCTATTCCCAAGGGCATATACCTTGGTTGCAGGTTCCACCCCCAGCCCTGGTGGGGGCACATGCGGGAGGCAACCAGAGTGAGTGAGTGAGTGAGTGAGTGAGTGTGTGTGTGTGTCCTTCTTCCTCCCTCCCTTCCTCTCTCTCTAAAAAAAAAAAGAAGAAAAAAAAAGGGAAAATATCCTCAGATGATATTTAACAGAAAAAAGAACAATACATTCCAAATAATAAGTATACAGAAATAATCCATCTATTCAAATATATGAGTCTGAGCCCTGGCCGGTTTGGCTCAGCAGTTACTGTCAGCCCGCAGACCAAGGAGTTGCAGGTTCGATTCCGATCAAGGGCACATACCTTGGTTGCAGTTTGGTCCTCGGCCCTGGTCGGGTCACGTGGGAGGCAACCAGTCAATGTGTCTCTCTCACATTGATGTTTCCCTCTCCCTCTCTCCGTCCCTCCCACTTTATCTGATGATAAATAGAAAAATATCCTCAGGTGAGGATTAAAAAAAAAAGAAACAGGTGTTTGATTCATTAAACGGTAGAACATCCATATAATAGAATATTATACAGCTATTAAGGATAATGTAAAAGCCCTTGCCAGTGTGGCTCAGTTGGCTGGGTGTCATTTTGTACACCAAAAGGCTGCCGGTTCAATTCCTGGTCAGGGCACATGCCTGAGTTGCTGACTCAATTCCTGGCAGGGGGCTTGCAAGAGTCACCTGATCTATGTATCCCTCTCACATCGATGTTTGTCTTTCTCCTCCTCTCTCACAAAAAAATATTTTAAAAAGAATAATGTAAGAGAACTCTGGCTGGGTGGTTCAGTTGGTTGGATCATAAACCATACACCAAGAGATTGTGGGTTTTATTCCCAGTCAGGGCACATACCTAACTTGTGGGTTCAATCCCCAGTTGGGGCATATGTGAGAGGTGACTGATCAATGTTTCTCTCTCACACTGATGTCTCTCTCCACCTCTCTCTCCCTCCCTGCCTTCCTTTCTCTCTGAAAAGCAATAAACATATCCTCAGATGAGGATTAAAATTAAAAAAAGAATGATGGCAAGAGTGAATGTACTAAAACAGGAAGATTCCAACATAAGACTGTTATTGCAAAAAATGAACTTAAAGCAGTATGATCTCATTTTTATGAAAATACATAAATATGAGCACATATGAATATATATGCACACATAAGAAGGTTGGGAAGGGAAGGGTACAAACCAAAGTTTCCAGTAACTGGATATGAAACAAGTATGAAAGGAAAAACTATTTTAAGGAGCAAGAACAAGACTTAGAACAATACTTACATCAACTGCAGCATCCTCATCATCTGAATCTTGCAGACCAAGAGCTGCTTTTTGTAATTTCTTCCTCTCATTAGCCAAAGCTTGTTCTGTTTCATCAAACTTGAAGCCCTTACCAGAGAACCCACTACTCTTTTTAATTATTTTCCCTTCCTTCCAAGGAAAAAAAAAGAATTAATTTCATAGTTAACACTTTTAATGTTAAAAAAAAATTTACAGCAATCTAGTATCTTTCAAGAAGCAGTATACCAATGTACCAATAACACTTCATCTAGTATGTGACAAAAAAAATAAGATCTTTGGGTAAACTACTCAAAATACTAAGTTGAAGCAAAGAGAGTTATTTACTCTTTTTCTCCCCTCTCTAAAGAGATAAATGAAAATAATACTTTCAAGATTTATAAGTATTAAATATTCAAAGTTTAGAACACAATGATGTACATAAAAAAGAGAGTTAAGAAAACTCACAGCTTTTTGTTGATCTTTGAAATCACTCCAAAGTTTCTCTAGATCAGGAGGCACTGCAGTCCCTGACAATTCAAGAGCTTTAATGATATCACCAGCATAGCGAGCTTGATCTTCTGTGATAAAAGTATATGCATAACCCTAATGGATGGTGACAAAGTGAAACTATTAGACACTAAAAAGATGAATCCTACTTAGATTACAAATAAAATAAAACCTAAACCACCCAATAAAACCTCTTAAAATTGACTGCATTACTAAAGCATAAAGACGATTAAAAGAGTCCTCCTAAGTCCTGGCCAGCTTGGCTCAGCAGTTAGAGCATCAGCCTGTGGACCACAGTGTCCCGGGTTCGGTTCCTGCTAAGGGCACATAACTCGGTTGCAGATTGTCCCTGGCCCAAGTTGGGGTTGTATGGGCAGCAACCACTCGATGTGTCTCTCTCACATCTATGTTTCTCTCTCTCTCTTCCTCTCTCTCTCCCTCCCACTCTATCTGAAGATAAATGCAAAAATGTCCTTGGGTGAGGATAAAAAAAAAGAGTCCTACTAAACTGTTCAAAGGTTGAAAATACAATATCTAAGTTTAATATTTAAAAATGAAATTAGCAAAACCAGAACATTTCTGACTTCTTATCCATAAGCAGAAATATATGTGATTTTACATAAATGCACAATTGTACTGTCGTAAATACTTTCTTTAATAAAGTACTTTCCTTCCCTTTTTTGCTTATGTTCACTTTCTCCACTACTGCATCATTCTACCCCAGCTAACCTGTATCAACTTCCTAGAATGTAGTTTCCTATATATTTTTAAGACCAATAAAAGATATAGAAGCACATGTGAGTATAAGTATGATATATATTTTTTATATACAAAAGCAAGTTGTTTTTTAAATTTATTTATTTTTGTAACCATCTTGCAAAAATAAAGTCAACTATATCACCTCCCTGAGATTCTCTAAAGGCAAAGGCTTCACATGTCCCAGCAGCTTTTTGGTTTAGGCAAGGAAAACACTGGAGTTAAAGTGCAGAAATAGCAAACCACATATTACCATCTTCACAAAATACTCTGCCACTACCACTGAACTATTATAAATTTTAAAACATGGTTTAATATTTTATTTCAGTAATATCTAGTCACCAGATTTGATCCATGGTCTGCTTCTGTACTGCCCATGAGCTAAGAATGATATTAACATTTTTAAGGTTGTATACATGCGTATATACATACACACACCCACGCACGCACGCATACACGCACGCGCAAGTGTATTTGCGAACATGACAGAGACCGTATGTGGCCTCATAAGGCCCTGGACAGGGTTTCTCAGTGGTTAGAGCGTTGCCTCTAACATCAAAGTGTCACAGGTTCGATTCCTGGTCAGGGGCACCAATCTGGGTTGTAGGTTCAACCCTTGAACCCAGTCGGGGCACATGTGGGAGGCAACAAATCAATAGCACACATCAATGTCTCTCTCTCTCCCTGACCCGGACCCCTCTAAAAATCAATGGAAAAATATCAAGTGAAGATTCGCGCGCACACACACACACACACACACACACACAAAGTAATATGTATGTGTACTGGTTGGGGGGTGGTGATAGGTATCAATTTGAGTATATTTTATGATCCCACCTTTTTTTAAAAAGCAATTAAAGATTCTGAACTATATACATGAATGTATATAGAAGTTTTTAGGCAGGTAATAATTCCTAAAAGGAGACATGAATGGTTAACACCAACTACAGAGAACATCTAGGTATCTGATAATTTTCAAAATATACAGACATGTATAATTTTAACAATAGTTAAGCAAAAATATGTATATAACTGATGAATACCTCAATTATTCCTCATACTTTGATGATTGTTTTTATTAAAAAAAATTTTTAATTGATTTTTAGAGAGAGAGGAAGGGAGAGGGGAAGAGAGAGAAACATCTATGTGAGAGCAAAACACTGATCAGTTGCCTCCTGCATGCTCCTCCCACCGGGGATCAAGCCTGCAATCCAGGCATGTGCTCTGACTGGGAATCGAACCGGCAACAGATGATGCCCAATCAACTGAGCCACAGTGGCTAGGACTGATTGAAGATTTTTAAAATGTCCCCATATGTCCAGCAAATGTGGCTCAGTGCACTGAGCATTGCCCCATAGACTGAGAGGTCCCGATCAGGGCACACAACCAGTTTGTAGGTTCAATCCCCACTGGGGGACATGCAATAGGCAGCTGATTGATATCTATCTCTCACACTGATGTTTCTCTCTCTTCCTTCCTTTCTCTCTAAAAAAACCAATATAAATAAATATTAAAAAGAAAAAAAAAGCCCCCATTACTCTGATTACTTACTCCTTAAAATAGTAAAGGAACACTTAGACTTTAATATAATAAAAATCAACTTAAAATTTTTTTTTACTTTGTTGCCTGCTCTTCCAGTCCGTCCTGCTCTGTGCACATAATCTTCATAATGGTTGGGACAGCTGTAATTTACTACAAGAATCAGATGTTTCACATCTAGACCTCGGGCAGCAACAGAAGTAGCCACAAGAAGTTTGCAGGTCCCATTCTTAAAGTCATTTATGATGCTATCTCTGTCATATTGATCAATACCTGCAAGTAAATTACACATAAGAGTTGTAAAACTTCATATTCAAATTAAACTTCTACTTTTTCTGACACTCAGAGAAAGAAGTTAAACATGGAGTAAAGAACAAATCCAACTAATATTGACTACATATCCAACAACTACAATATAGAAAAAACACTAAGGAGACCCAATGGCAAGATCAACGACTACTGTTATTAACTCATTTATGAATCTTCCAAATGTACCCTTGCTTGTGCCCTTTCTTGAATATAAGGCTTACAACTGCAGAAGCCCAATCTCAGAATCACTACCCTAAACTTGTTTAGGCAGCAACAAAAGAAAAGGCATGTACATTCAGCCTATATTGACAGGATTCAGACCTTTTTCCTTCTGTAGGCTTTATAGAGCCCTAATACTCAATTTTGTCCAAGGACCAGAAGCAGCATCAATGGGAGCTTGTTAGAAATGCAGAAGCTCAGATCCTACCCCAAATTACTGAATCAGATTCGTCATTTTAACAAGATACTTTGGTGATTACATATGTACATTAAAGTTTGAGGTGCACTGGTAAAATTTAACTAATAGGATATCTCTTAAACATGTTACCCAAAGAGCCTCAGACTGAGTGACAAAGCAGAGCATATAATGCCAGAATGTTCTATTACAAGATGCCAAGGCCGCATTTATATTTGATGATGGGGTATCCAAGTATCTCTGGTACTTAGAGAAGGGAATGAGATAAATCCTCAAACTAATTTTTGCAGCAGTAGATGTCATACAAAATCTTATTTTAATAACTACATATTTATTAATATTAACTTATATTACCTAACATTTTTTAATTTTTCATCTTTTTTAAATCCTCACCCAAGGACATATTTTTTTCATTTATCTTCGGATGGAGTGAGAAGGAGGGAGAGAGAGAGAAACACCGACGTGAGACAGACAAATCAACCAGTTGCCTCCCACCTGACCCTGACCAGGGCCCGGAAACTAACCGCAACCGAAGTACATGCCCTTGGCCAGAATAAAACCCACAACTCCTTGGTCCACAGGCTGACGCTCTAACCACTAAACCAAACTGATTAGAGCAACATTTTCAATTTTTATTTGTTGATTGATTAATTTTACAGAGAGGGAGAGACAGAGAAACACCGATTTGTTGTTCTACCTATCTATGCATTCATTAGTTGATTTCTATTTTTTTTTTACAGCGAGAAAAAGAGGAAGGGAGTGGGAGAGAACAAGAGAAACTACAATGGGCTGCCTTCCGCACACCCCCTACCAGAAATCAAGCCCAAAATCCAGCATGTGCCCTGACCAGGAATCAAACCAGCAACCTTTTGGTGCACAGGACAACACCCAACACACTGAGCCACACCAGCCAGAGCCATTGGTTGACTCTTGCACGTTCATGCCTGACTGGGGATTGAACCCGAAACCTTAGTGTATCAGAACAATGCTCTAACCAACTAAATTGGCCAGGGCTAAAATTTTAAATATACTCTTCAAAGATTGAAATAGAAAAAGTATTTGGATCTATGTCAAAGAAACTAGGATCCAACACTATACCAAAAAACTTCATTAAGAAAAAGTAGACTTTCGGTCAAGATGGCGATGTAGGTAAATGCAGTATCGTGTCCTCCCACAACCACATCAAAGTTACAACTAAACTACAGAACAGTTATCATTCAAAACCACCTGACATCAAGTTGAATGGAAGTCCTACAAATACAGAATTAAAGAGAAATTAAAGCAGCAGCCACATCGAGACTAGTAGGAGGGGTGGAGGTGGACGGGCTGGTCCCACACCCACGTGTGGCAGATAAAAATCAGGACACCTGGGCTGAGAAGGTCCTCCCTGAGGACTGAGGGGTCCCCATCCTAAACCAGACGCCCCGCTCAGGGTTCCAGTGCCAGGAAGAGAAGTCCCCATAACTTCTGGCTGGAAAAACCAGCGGGAACTGAGGCTCAGGGAAGCTGATGCGGCTGGAGCCCCAGGCAGCTCCTCTTAAAGGACCCGCGCATGGACTTATCGGACTCACTTCCCTCTAAGCTTGGAGGGGAGGCAGCTTGAGGGCACCAGAAAAATACAGGGAAGAACTAAGCTGTTTGGCACTGAAGCGAAGGCCAGAGAGGAGGCTTTCTCTAGGACAAACCTGCTGTCACAGGCCTTTCTTCCTTTGGTGAGCCCTGCCCTGGGGTGGCAGACAGTTGCCATATCTGGGACTCCAGCAACCTGGCTCACACTCCTTGCCCCGCCCTGGTGATTCCCTGAGGCCCCGCCCCACCCAACTTTCAGGCCCACCCAAGCTGTTGCCAGTTGCTTAACCATAGGATTGGCCTGTCTTGGATCCTGCTTCAGGTTTTTCCTAAATTCTTTCAAACGAGCACCATCGGCTCTCAGCGAGCCCCATACCTCTCGTTAAGTAATACACAGAAACAAACACAGGGAGGCAGCCAAAATGAGGAGACAAAGAAACAGGTCCCAAATGAAAGAACAGAACAAAACCCCAATAAAAGATCTAAGCGAAATGGAGATAAGCAACCTAACAGATGCTGAGTTCAAAATACTGCTTATAAGGATGCTCAATGAACTTAGTGAGGGCCTCAAGAGCATAAAAAAGGATCAGTCAGAAATGATAGACGCACAGTCAGAAATGGAGGAGGCATTAACTAAAATAAAGAACAATTTACACAGATTCAATAGTAGAAAAGGTAAAGCCAAGAAGCAAACCATCGATTTGGAATATAAAGAAGCAAAAAACGCCCAATCAGAACAGCAAAAAGCAAAAAGAATCCAAAAAAATGAGGATAGTGTAAGGAGCCTCTGGGACAACTTCAAGCGTGCCAACATTTACATCTTGGGGGTGCCAGGAGGAGGAGAGAGAACAAGAAATTGAAAACCTGTTTGAAACAATAATGGCAGAAAACTTTCCTAACTTGGTGAAGGAAACAGACATACAAGTCTAGGAAGCACAGAGAATCCCAAACAAGATGAACCCCAAGGGGCCCACACCAAGACACCTCATCATCAAAATGCAAAAGGTTCCAGACAAAGAGAGAATCTTAAAAGCAGCAAGAGAAAAGCAGTTACCTACAAGGGAGTTCCCATTAGACTGTCAGCTGATTTCTCAATAAAAACTTTGCAGGCCAGAAGGGAGTGGCAAGAAATATTCAGAGTGATGAAAAGAACCTACAACCAAGATTACTCTATCCTACAAAGCTGTCATTTAGAATCGATGGCCATATAGACTTTCCCAGACAAGAAAAAAGTTAAAGGAGTTCATCACCACCAACCCGTTATTCTATGAAATGATGAAGGGTCTTTTGGAGAAAAAGATAAAATATATGAACAAACAAAATGGCAATGAACACATATGTATCGGCAATGGAATCTACAAAATGAACAGGCAGAACAGAAACATTCTCCTAGATACAGAGAACATTTTGTTGGTTGCCAGATGGGAGGGGGGTTGGGGGAATGGGTGAAAAAGGTGAAGGGATTAAGAAGAACAAATTCATTGCTAGACTGACAAACCTCAAAGGGAAAGGGGTGAGGGGTGAGAAGAAATAAACCAAAGAACTTATATGCATAACCAATGGACACAGACAATAGTGTGAGAAAAGGCGGGAAGGGGGTGGGAGTGGGGAGCAGGTGGTCAATGGGGGAAAAATGAGGAACATCTGTAATACATTCAACAATAAAGATTTTTTAAAAAGTAATAGCCCTGGCTGGTTTGGCTCAGCGGTTAGAGCGCTGGCCTGCGGTCTAGAGAGACCCGGGTTCGGTTCCTGATAAGGGAGCGTACCTCGGTTGCGGTTTATCCCCGGCCCTGGTTGAGTCATGTAAGTGGCAACCTCTCGATGTGTCCCTTTCACGTCGATGTTGCTCTCTCTCTCTCCCTCTTACTCTATCCGAACAAAACATCAAAAAATGTCCTTGGGTGAGGATAAAAAAAAAAAAAGAAAAAGTAATAGAATCATTATCAGTATAAAGTTAACGTTATCATTAAAAGACATGGCCCAAGTGGTTTGGCTCAGTGGACTGAATGTTGTCTCATGGACTGAGAGGTCCCAGTTTAATTCCCAGACAGGTCACATGCTGGATTTCGGGCTTGATCCCCAGGAAGAGGCATGCAGGAAGCAGACAATCGATGTATCTCTGTCATATCGATGTTTCTATCTCTCTTTCCCTTCCCCTCTCTCTAAAAAAAGGAATAAGAACGTTAAAAAAAGATAACAAAATTTTTACTTAAGCCTGAGGTATCCTGACAACTAACCCAACTGTGCATATTTTATTCCATGGAAGTGAATGTAATATGCTAATTACATTATATGGGATGCCTGCCCATCAACCATTAAGCCTCTTCTTTTTTAACATAACCCCAAATTTGCCCTGACCTGTTTGGCTCAGCGGTTTGGAGCATCAGCCCTCAGACCAAAGAGTCGCAGGTTCGATTCTAGTCAAGGGCAAGTACCTTGGTTACGGTTCATCCCCAGCCCGGGTTGGATTGTGAGGGAGGCAACCAGTCAATGTGTCTCTCTCACGTCAATGTTTCTCTCTCCCTCTCCTACTCTGTCTCAAGATAAAATAGAAAAATATCCTCGGGTGAGGATTAAAAATAATAATAATAAAGCAATTACATGTTAAAATAAAAAACATTTTTTGCCTGGTTGGTGTGGCTCAGTGGTCTGAGCATCATCCCTTGGACTGAGAGGTCCTGGTTCAATTCCTGGTCAGGGCGCATACCTGGGTTGCAGGCTCGATCCTCAACAGGAGGTAGCGCGGAGGCAGCTGATCAATATATCTCTCTCACATCAATGTTTCTGTCTCTCTCTCTCTTCCTCTCTCTCTCTTAAAAAAAAAACAACAATAAAAAACATAATAAAAAAAAAAAGAGCCCTGGCCAGTTTGGCTCAGCAGTTAGAGCGTCGGCCTGCAGTCCAGAGAGACCTCAGTTTGGTTCCCACTAAGGGCACGTATCTCGGTTGCAGTTTGTCCCCAGCCCTGGTTGGTCATGTGGGTGGCAGCCACTCGATGTGTCCCTTTCACATCGATGTTTCTCCCTCTCTTTCTCTCCCTCTCTCTTGCTCCCACTCTATATGAACAAAAAAGAAAAAAGAACCCTGGCTGGTTTGGCTCAGCGGTTAGGATATCAGCTCGCAGACCAATAAGTCATGGGTTAGGTTCCGGTCAAGGGCACATACCTAGGTTGCAGTTCGTCCACAGCCCTGGTCAGGGTCATGTGGGAGTCAACCTGTCAATATTCCTCTCTCACATCGATGTTTCTCTCTCTCTCCCTCCCTCCCAATTCTATCTGAACAAAAAAAGAAAAATATCCTCTGGTGAGGATTAAAATACAAATAAAATAAAAATAAAGGAACCATCATTCATTCATTCCCTTTGTCTATTAATGATTTTGGTATAAGCATGTGATACAATTCTGATCTAAAAGGGATTTATTTATAAGAAACATTTCCTCACTTATACAAAAAACACACATTTCCACTAACATAGAAGCTCTTTTTGAACCAACTCTCCTTCAGATAACTATGAATTCTGGACAAAATATAAATAACAACTACCGGAAGGCACCAGAGTGACTAAAAGCAGACAGAAACTGGAAAGGAGTTGATATGTGGACAAATGCAATGATATTGGTTGAATTTACAGGATTTTATTTATTTATTTATTTTAAACTTGGGAGTAGGGGTAGCCTGGGCAGCCAGGTAGGGAAGTCAAAACCTGAGTAGAAATACAATGTTACTGACAATAAGAAACAGAAGAAAGAATTCAGGATAAACTCAGGACCAGAAAAGAGGTATTAAACTCCAGAAAGAACAGAGTGACCATACTCAATTATTCATAAAAATGTTGCCCAAATATTTGACCCCTAAAAATTACATATTCATGAAACAGAATAGAATCCAAGCAGCCCAGTTATGACTAAAAAAAAATTACAAATAAGACTTAGTTTGTAATATGAATCTAACCAAGCTGATGCCATTTTAAAAACAAAATTCCCACATATGTAAATCCCAATATTTAACAATAGTGATATTACAAAGAAATTAAAACGTTATTTTAAAATTTCAATGAAAGCCCTGGCTCATTTGGCTCAGCCATTAGAGCTTCAGCCCGCGGACCAATGAGTCTCAGGTTCAACTCCGGTCAAGGGCATGTACCTCGGTTGTGGTTCATCCCTGGCCCTGATTGGGGTCATGTGGAAGGCAAACAGTCAATGTGTCCGTTTCACGTCGATGTTTCTCTCTCTCCCTCCCACTCTATCTGAACAAAAATGGAAAAATATCCTCAGGTGAGGATTAAAATGAACAAAATTTTCAATTAAAGCTCTAACATGAATCATAAAAACCTCTAAGTAACATGATACAATAAAAAAAAGAATATAAGCCCTGGCCGGTTTGGCTCAGCAGTTGGAGTGTCGGCCTGCGGTACAGAGAGACCCGGGTTCGGTTCCTGCTAAGGGCATGTACCTCAGTTGCAGTTTGTCTCCGGCCCTGGTTGGTCATGAGGGTGGCAGCCACTCGATGTGTCCCTTCACATCGATGTTTCTCTCTCTTCCTCTCCCTCCCTCCCGTTCTATCTGAACAAAAAAAAAATGGAAAAATGTCCTCGGGTGAGGATAAAAAAAAAAAAAAAAAAAAATTAACATGAATCAGAAATTTTTTTTTTTTTTTTTTTTAATCCTCACCCGAGGACATTTTTCCACTTTTTGTTCAGGTAGAGTGGGAGGGAGAGAGAGGAACAGAGAGTGAGAGAAAAACATTGATGTGAAGGGACACATCGAGTGGTTGCCACCCGCACAACAGACCAGGGCCGGGGACAAACTGCAACCGAGGTACGTGCCCTTAGCAGAAACCGAACCCGGGTCTCTCAGGACCGCAGGCTGACACTCTAACCGCTGAGCCAAACCGGCCAGGGCTGAATCAGAAATTTTTAATTTCAATTCTTCCTTAGCTGACTAATGGCTAGGGAATTTGCCTCAAACCAATGTATTATTTTATCTCAAAGATGGATTAATAATAATAATAATAGTGCTGTTATGAACACAACTGAGATACTGTGAATGATATAAAATTTAGTTCTAAATTAAGAGTACATAGTAAATATCATTCAGAACACAGCACAGTACTTGGCCAAGTATTTCAGACATACTTCATTAAATATTACCTCCATGAAGAGACATGCAAGGATAAGATGCTCTCATTAAATCTTTCAGAAGACCATCAGCATGTTCCTGCTTATCCACAAATATAATGACAGATCCAGATTCCTGATAATGGCCCAGAAGCTCAAGTAACTTCAAGAATTTCTTTTCTTCTTCAATCACAATCTGAAAACACCAAATGGCACCAAGTTAATGGAATAAATACACAAATACACCTCTTAAACAAAAATACTCATTTTATTTGTGGTAAAGGGATAAATGACAATACCTTGCTAAACCATTAGGAAGGATTAGAAACATTCTTATTTGAATTAGTGAATCATTAAGTCAAAAAAAAAAAATTTCAGAGAATCAGAGGCTTGAAAATGTGAACAAACACTCATGCTGTGAACCAAAGAATAAGATGGCTATGTGATATTTCCACCTACCAGTCCACCACTTCTGGTGGAAGAAACTATAAGAGCACCTTAACCAGTCAGCTCCATGGAAAACCACATATTCAAGTGTATCTGGTAAAATACTAAAAGGCTTCAGTTGATGTATAATATTTAATTTTAGAAATAATCTGCCCACATCACAAACAGTGATCCCAAAAGGATGACACACTGCCCAAACATCTAGGGAACTGGGGATTTCCTAAGCATTGTACCCACCACTTGCTGCTCCACATCCGAGCAAACCACACTCCTGCCTCCAACCTGCACTTCAATGGGTTTACTCAGGATTCTTCGAGCCAAAGCCTCCATAGCTCTGGGGAAAGTAGCTGAAAACATAACTGTCTGTCGATCAGGACGGACATTATCCACAATACGCATGACCTGAAAAAACATTGTAAATCAATATGGTGATTGTGGTCTCCCAAAATCATGTTATTAAAACCAAGTAGAAAAAACTTTTGAGAACATCTATTCAGTGACTTTTAAACTTAGAATTCTACATTGGATTTTACCCCATAATTTGCTCCTCTCATAGTTTCCCTCTCTCAAGAAACGACAATTCTAGGCATTCACATGTTTAGACCAAAATTCTAGGAACCATCTTTTGACTACCCTTCTCTCTTACTCATCACACACCCAATTCATCAACAAATTCAACAGTCTCAGTCTTCAAACTGTATCTTGATGCAACCATTCTCCATTTAATATCACTATTTACCTACATTTATTCAACACATTTTTACTGAGCAACCATTATGTGCCAAGCATTTTTCTAAGTGTTTGAAATAGACAATAAGAAGAAAAAAAAAAACTCCCTGGCAGGTCTTGCTCAGTGGTGGTTAGAGCGTCAGCCCACAGACCAGAGTCATGGGTTCAATTCTAGTCAAGGGCACTCTCTCACATCTAGTCAGTTCGATCCCCGGCCCTGGTCAGGATTGTGCAGGAGGCGACCAGTCAAGGTGTCCCTTTCACATTGATGCTTCTCCCAATCTCTATCTAAAGACCAAAAAAAGACAAAAACTTGTCTTTGTGGAGCTTATATTCTAATAAGGTAGACAAATAAACATATTGTATCAAATAGTGGTAAGAACTACAGAAACAAACAGAACAATGAACATGGACATACTGTTGAGGGAGTGGGATATAGGCATCAATTGCTTCAGTGTTTATAGAGCTCTGGAGGAATCAAGAAGTCCTAAGATTCTTGTAATGACTGGTATAAACAAAGAAGAAAAAAAAACCCATAATGATGGTCTCAAGATAGGTAGTGGTGAATGGTTAGAAATTGGGAAGAGCTGCCCTGTCCGGTTTGGCTCAGCAGTTAGCACGTCAGCCCGGGGACCAAAGAAATTGGGAAAGGTAAAGGTCACGCCAAGAATTTCAGGATCACAATTTCACTCCAGTGGAAGATGATGTGAAATCCGAGAAAGGGACAGTCTTAGACAAAGCACTTGTATTTACAACATAAATCCTGGGTTCCTGGCCCAAACCTAGACCATTTCTCAACTGGATTACTTCAACTGTCTCCTAACAGGTCTCCCTGTCTTGACTCCTGCCAAATCTAAAATCTATTCTCCACCCACACGCCAGTGCTTTCAGTTAAGAACTATTGGTTAACCACAGACATTTACTTTTCTTCCCTTGAAAACACCCTGTAAAAAAATAACAACACAGAAATTTTTTTTAAATTACACAAACCAACAAAGACAAAGAAAATAGGACAGGAGATGGTAACAACATTTTGATTAAGGGGGTACCTGACTTAGCTAATTCAAATAATCTAAATACCAAAATGAGAATGGACTATATTTTCAGGGGGTGGTTCCCTCATCCCCTCTCCTGTCCCTCCTGTTCAGGAGGGTCACTGTTCACCATCTGATCTTGATATAAATTTGAGAGTCAACCTAAGTCCTCTTTAATGCTTTCCAATCAAATTCCGTATTTTTCTCCGGATACATCTTATATATTTTTTGTCAGGTTTATTTTTTCATACTTTTATAAAATACATTTTCAAGTTTACTGGGAAAAGAAATATAAATAATTATGTTTAATGATTTTGTATCCAAAAACGTTACCACTCTTATCTGTTCTACGCATTCATCCACAGATTAGTTTGAGTCTTCTACAAAGGCAGTCTTACCTCTATTTTCCAAACATACCCTTTTCTTTCTTTTTTTTTTTTTTATCCTCACCTGAGAACATTTTTGCATTTATCTTCAGATAGAGCAGGAGGGAGAAAGGGAGGGAGAAAGGGAGGGAGAAAGGGAGGAAGAGAGAAACATCAATGTGAGAGACACACATCAACTGGTTGCCACCTGCACAACCCCAACCGGGGCTGGGGACGCACTGCAACCAAGGAAGTTGCCCTTAGCAGGAACTGAACCCGGGACTCTGATCCACGGGCTGACGCTCTAACCGCTGAGCCAAACCGGCCAGGGCCAAACATATCCTTTTCTTGCTTACTTGCCAGGATATTCTTTCAAAATGTTGAATGTCTGCTAAGTATTTTACTTTGTTTCTTCCTCTTTTTGTTGTTGTTGTTAATCTTCACCCAAGAATATTTTTCCATTGATTTTTCAGATAGAGTGGAACAGAAAGGAAGGGGGGGTCAACAATGTGAGAGACACATCAATCAGCTGCCTCCCGCAGGACCCTGCCTGGAGCCTGTAACCCAAGGGCATGATCTTGATAGGGAATCAAACCCAAGACCCTTCAGTCCTCGGGCCAACACTCTAACTGCTGAGCAAACTGGCCAGGGATTCTTTATCTATGTTAATAGCTTCAAAATTTCACCAGTAAGTATAATGTTTGCTGTAAGCTTTTTTGTAGCTACTCTGTATTGGATAAGAGCGGTTCTTGACTAATTTCAGTGTACGAAATTCTTAAATCACGAGTGAAATTTTCTCAAATGCCTTTTCTAAATTATTTGAGATAACGGTACAGTTTTTTCCTCTATTCTGGTAATAGGGTGAATTATATTACTTGATTTTTCTCATGTTAAACCAGTCTTGTATCCAAAAGATACTAACTTTAAAATGCCACATAGTTGGTTTCCTAATATATTTTTTTAGGGTTTTTATATCATTATACATGAAACTGTAACTTGTTTCATGTTATCAGTATTGTACTGTCCTGTAAAATGGAATAGCCATTATGGAAAAGTTTGATAGTTTCCTAGAAAGTTAAACATAAATTACCATCAAATCCAGCAATTCTACTCCTTCGTATCTACCCAAGAGAAATGAAGAAATAAGTGCCTTGTATGTAAATAGTCATAATAAACAAAAAGTAGAAATAATACAAATGTTCATCAGCTGATTAATAAACAAACAAAACACGACATATATTCAAATAATGTAATACTAACTACTCAACAATAAAAGGAATAAAGTTCTGACACATGCTATGACATGGATGAACCTCAAAAACATGCTAAAAGTAATAAGCTAGGCCCTGGCTGGTTTGGCTCAGCGGTTATAGAGTCGGCCTGCGGGTTGGAGAGTCCCAGGTTCAGTTCCTGCTAAGGGCATGTACCTTGGTTGCAGTTTGTCCCCTGCCCCAGTTGGGGTTGTGTAGTTGGCAACCAGTCGATGTGTCTCTCTCCTCTTCTCCCCTCTCTCTCTCCCACTCTATCTGAAGATAAATGCAAAAAATGTCCTTGGGTGAAGATAAAAAAAAAGAGAATAAATGAGCTAGAGTTCATTTATATGAAATGTCCAGAAAAGCCAAATCTACATTATAATGCAGATTAGTTTCTGTCTCAGGCTGGGGTGGGAACAGAAACTGACTGTAAATGGGCACAAGGCATTGTTCTGGTGATGGTAATGTTCTAAAGCTGGACAGTGGTGATGGCTGTATAAATCTGTATATATACTAAAAACTGTTATATTATATACTAAAAAAAAAATGGGTGCACTCCTCTCTCTTTTTTTTTATCCTCACCTGAGGACATTTTTCCATTTTTTGTTCAGATAGAGCAGGAAGGAGAGAGAGGAAGAGAGAGAGAAACATCGAAGTGAAAGGGACACATCGAGTGGCTGCCACCCGCACGACCCAACCAGGGCCATGGACAAACTGCAACCGAGGTATGTGCCCTTAGCAGGAACCGAACCCGGGTCTCTCTGGACTGTAGGCCGACGCTCTGACTGCTGAGCCAAACCAGCCAGGGCTCCTTGTCTCTCTTAAGCACACCCCACCGTGTTTCTTCCCTAGTGCATGCTATCTCTGTAGCGGACTCAGGCTTCCCATCCTCCCTCCTTCCCCTAGGTTATTTCTTTTTTTTTTTTATCATCACCCAAGGACATTTTTGCACTTATCTTCAGATAGAGTGGAAGGGAGAGAGGGAGGAAGAGGGAGAGAGAGAAACATCGATGTGAAAGAGACACATCAAGTGGCCGCCACCCACATGACCCCAACCGGGGCCGGGGACAAACTACAACCGAGGTATGAGCCCTTAGCAATAAAACCGAACCCAGGACTCTCCGGTCCACAGGCTGATGCTCTAACTGCTGAGCCAAACCGGCCAGGGCTAGGTGTTTTCTTTGCATTTCTTTTTCCTCAGCTCTGTAACTTATTTTCTGAGCCCACACAACCAAGCTGGCTCACTTCTTAACCTCTGTGACTTTCTAACTAAACTTTTGCTTTTATTTGAGTCTTGGCTCTGAATTGTTTTTAGGCAAAACAAACAAACAAACAAAAGTGAATTTTATGCCCTTGCCGGTTTGGCTCAGCGGTTAGAGCATCGGCCTGCGGTCCGGAGAGACCCGGGTTCGGTTCCCGCTAAGGGCATGTACCTTGGTTGCAGTTTGTCCCCGGCCCTGGTTGGTGGTGCGGGTAGCAGCCACTCGATGTGTCCCTTTCATGTCGATGTTTCTCTCTCTCTCTTCCTCTCTCTCCCTCCTACTCTATCTGTGCAAAAAAAAAAAAAAAAAGTGAATTTTATGGTATATAATTAGATCTTAACAGAGCTCTTTTAGAAATAAAGTATTACAATGATCTTATTCATTGCTTTTCTTCTTTTTATACAATAAAATAAAGTATAACTAGGAATATAATTATTCACTCCATGAATGTCTGGTAGAACTTGCTAGTAAAAAATAATCAGGCACTAGTGGGAGAACTAAAAGTTTATTTCTTTAATAAAGGTAGGACTATTTTAGTATTTTTGTTCTTGAGTCTGTTTAAAGCTTTCAAATACACTGGCATATAGAAAAAGAAAAAAGCAACATGGAGAAAACAGACTTTGCTGAGAGATGAAAATTTCAAAATACTTAGTTGCATCTTCCATCTGATTCTTCAAGTCCCTCTACTCTTTCCACAAATGGATTCCTTGACTCTATTCAAACATATGGTGAAAAGCATATTCAATATATGCCCTCTCCCACAAACTAACCTGTTTCATCTCCAAATAATGTTTATACAGCCCTTTGTCACATTATGCTAAGATCAAGCTCCCAATAGTTTCCCCAGCAGGTTCCAGTTCTACTTCTTGTGACCCAAAGGATAAATTCAATGCTTCTTTCATGTGAAAGATTTTTTTAAGAGTTGAATGCTATTAAGTCACCTACTCCAAGGTAAATGTTCCTCTCCCCTTTAACTGCTTCTCATATGGATTGTGTGTTACCATATCCTGTTTACTCATTTTTTCAATCCTCTCTCATTTAGAATGTGGTCCTGAAATCTAAACACAATGCATGCACTATCATATGACAGGCAATACGTTTTTGGAAAATATGTGAATAACTGAAACGACTGAATACAATTTTAATCTTATCCCTTTCTAATACCCCATTTCTATTACTGCAGTTTATTAGTTAAAAAAAATATTTTGGCCCTAGCTGGCTTTGCTCAGTGGTTAGAGCATCAGCCCACAGACCAAAGAGTCACTAGTTCAATTCTCGATCAAGGACACACACCGGGATGGCCCAATTGGGGTTGTGAGGGAGACAACACCAAAATTTTTTTTTTTAGCCTTTTCTTTCTCTTTTTAAATTTATTTATTTATCAATTAATTTTGTAACAAATGTTTCTCCTTTTTCCCCCCTAGAAACCCTTCTCCAGATTTGACCCTCCCATAATATTGTTGTCTATATCCATTGGTTATGCATATATGAATATAAGTTCTTTGGTTTATCTCTTCTCTCCCCCCACTGCTCCACTCTTCGGAGGTTTGTGGGAGACAACCAATTGATGTTTCCTCTCTCACATTAATGTTTCTCTCTCTCTCTCTCCCTCTTTCCCTCCCTCCCACTCTATCTCTATCTACAAATCAATGGAGCCCAGCTGGTGTGGCTCAGTGGCTGAATGTCAACCCATGCATTAAGAGGTTGCTGGTTCGATTGCACATGCCCAGATTGTGAGCCAAATCCCCAGTGAGGGACATGCAGGAAGTAGCCAACTGATGTTCTCTCCCATCGATGTTTCTTTCTCTCTCCCCCCCCCCACTTTCCCTCTCTTGAAAATCAATAAAGAAAAAAATTAAAAATCAATAGAAAAATATCCTCGGGTGAGGATTAATAAAACAAAACAAATTTGGGGAGGGGGGGGCCCTCACAGCTCAATTGGTTAGAGCATTCCTGATATACCAAGGATGTGGGTTTGATTCCCCCATCAGGTCACATAAGAATTAATCAATGAATGCATAAATAATGGAACAACAAATCGATGTTTTTCTCTCTCTCTAAAATTAATTTAAAATAAATTTTTGGCAACTCACAGTGCACTTCTTGTTTAAAAAATTCTACCATCTTTTAACATGTATTTCTTTATATTTATAGCATAGAAATTCATACTTGAGAAAACAGCATGTATGAGAAAAAGTCTAAGTTAGGCAAATGCTTTGGGCATCAGTTTTTACTGATGGAGAATCTGGAGAATTTAAACGTACTATCTAGATCATATGGTAATTAAAAGCATGAATTAAAGCAATTTATTTAAATTACAATAAAACTACAACATATGAAATATGAACATTTAAGCTCCTTTTATTAGCATTCCAACTCTAATTTTAACAATGATCGTTTTAGATGGCTAAGGAAAAAAAAACCTGCACAAATACCTCCTAAATGAGTTTTATAGAAAATTAAAAACATAAATAATCATTTCAATTTCATATGCCCCCAAACTGTACTACCACACAGCATAAATGTATGTGAGAATTAAACCATACAAAAATTTCATTCTCATGGTTGGTACAAGGTTTATTTTATAGTTCAAAACACAGCATTGACTGGTTTGGCTCAGCAGTTAGAGCAGCAGCCAGCAGACCAGAGTCACAGGTCCGATTCCTCAGGTCAAGGGCACATACCTAGGGTTGCAGGTTCGATCCCTGGCCCTAGTTGGGGTCATTGCGGAAGCAAGTCTTTCTCACATGAATGTTTCTCTCTCTCTCTCTTTCTCCCTCCCTCCTTCCTACTCCATCTGAAAATCAATGGAAAATATCCTCAGATGAGGATTGAAAAAACACAAAAAACTAAGGAATGTAATGATTACCTGTGGTTCAAAACCCATATCGAACATTCTGTCTGCTTCATCTAACACAACATATGTCACTCTTCGAAGATTTGTGACCCGACCTAAGGGGGTGAAAAAAGAAAAGACAAAAAGAAAACTAAAAATCAGTCACAACTCATTTTATGGCTACCAAGAACATTAAAAAACTGTAAAGGGAACTAAAATGCCTGACTTAACCAGAGGGGTAAGTTAGGTATCTTTAAACAGTGAAAAGAAATTTTGATCTACAATGTCTTAATCTAATGGCAAATACTTTCTGACAATGGGTATATGAGGCCCTTTATTTGTCAAACTCGTCTCTTGCATACCATCATAGGGCCTGAAGAACCTGTAAAATTCAGAAAACATCCCTCTCCAAAACACATCATAAAACTAAGACTGAGATGAAGCATCGAGCCACATCAGCCATTATCTGACAGCATCACCTAGGAAAAAACATATTAGAGATTACAGCGTATGTGTGGAAAGCAAGTGCCAGTGCAAACTATTTCAGATGCAGAAAACCTCTTTATATTACCTTATAACCTATTTCCGTATAATCAGAAACTTCAAATGAGCAAGTCAAAACATTAATGAGAAGCAATGCAACACCATTAGGTAACTAACATATTACACAAAAACTAAATACCAAATGTACTATATAGATACATTTTTCTACACAAAGATACAAATACAATTTTCTTAAGTGCTCCCACTGGTTTAAAGAAATGCGACAGGCTTCTTAGCCAATGAAAATTAAATACATACACAGGAAACCCTTTCTGAACAATTAACACAAGGACTTCTATCAACTGTTGAATCAATCACCTGGCAAACAGTTATTAAATATAAACCAAAAGGACAGATAAGGGAAAAAAATAAAATTAATCAAGATGAATTTCAGGAGGAGACTTAATAAATGCAGCATTGAGAAAAAATAAGGGATTAATTCATCAACATCCAACCCAACACTTTTCATATGTTGTACAAGCACAATGACTTATCAATTTCAATGTCACTTTGCCAACTTCATATAGCATTAGAATATATATAGAAATTCAAGCAAAATGCTATTAGAAACATGCACTACTTGGTTTTTAATACTCTATTACATATATACTAACTACTACAATGAAAACCTATGAAAGCCTTTTCTTAAAAAAAAAAAAAAAAAAGAGCCCAAATAAATGCTTTCTAATATTTAAGTATTCCACACTAACATTTGCAGCCCCAAGGAATTTTGCAAGGTTGGGAACATCATTAAATCACCTACCTTTGATGGTTTAAGTCTCGGAAGCCCAGTTCTATAAATCTTGAAGGGCCTTTCTCCACAGAAGTTAAATAATGTCAACAGTTTAGTAACAGTTTTGATAGAGAATAATTGAACAAAGCACAATGTTTGAGCTAAAAACATGCAATATTTACAAAAGATAAAATTTCTTGAAGCTGCAATATCTTAATTCAGTCAGTATTGTAAGAAAATACTAGCACCTGTGGAGAAAAGCTCTAAATTTTATAATGAAAAATGAGATAGTGCCTCCTCCTTTTAAAAGGAAAGTTAGGCTAAACTTGAATGAATACCAAATGTACTATATAGATACACGTTAAGTGTTAAAAATATCAGATGGAGTTAGTTTTTTTTGTTGTTTTTTAACAGGACATTGTTCCACTTTTTGTTCAGAGACAGTAGGAGGAAGAGAGAGGAAAAGAGAGAAACATCGACGTGTAAGGGACACATCAAGTGGCTGCCTATCACACGACCCAACCAGGGCCTGGGGACAAACTGCAACCAAGGTACGTGCCCTTAGCGAAAACCAAACCCAGGTCTCTCTGGACCGCGGGCCAACGCTCTAACCACTGAGCAAACCGTCTAGGGCAGATGGAGTTTGTTTTGAAAAGAAATTTTCATTTAAATTGCAAAAATGTTATGAATGCTTATACTAATAAGCTTGTTACAATACAAATTTTAAGATATTACAGCTTTAAGAGGAAATGTAGAAACCCTTTGATGGTTTCTTATATCAGCTGTGATTTAAAAAAAAATGTATAGAATTCAAAAAGGAGAAAAGAGAAAAAAACACCCGACTTACCACTGTTAGCTGCTAACATGTCAATCATTCGACCAGGTGTACAAACAATGATTTCAGCACCTCTTTTCAGTTCAGCAATCTAATTTAAAAAAAAAAAAAAAAAAAAAACTTTTATACTCTATTTATAACTAATGATTATTTAAAGAGATTTGAAACAGGCCTGTGTGGCTCAGTGGTTGAACGTTGACCCATGCACCAAGAGGTCACCAGTGCGATTCCCTGTCAGGGCATGTGCCCAGGCTGTGGGCCCGATCCCCAGTAGAGGCATGCAGGAGGCAGCCAATCGATGTTCTCTCTCATCGTTTTTTCTGTATCTCTCTCCTCTCCCTTACTCCCTCTCTAAAATCAATAAAAAAACTTTTTTAAAAAAAGAGATTTGAAACAATACTTTCTGGGTCCTTCCATAGCTCCATAAAGAAAGTGAGGTCTGCCCTGGCCAGTTTGGCTCAGCAGTTAGAGTGTCGGACCGCGGATCAGAGAGATCCAGGTTTGGTTTCCACTAAAGGCACGTACCTCGGTTGCAGTTTGTCCCCAGCCCCAGTTGGGGTTGTGTGGGTGGCAACCAGCCAATGAGTTTCTCTCACATCGATGTTTCTGTCTCTCTCTCTCTTCCTCCCTCTCTCCCTCCCACTCTATCTGAAGGTAAATGCCAAAAATAAGTAAGTGATGTCTGATTAGAAGACTCCAAAGTTTCCTACTTAATATATTGGAGTGCTAGAGCACTATTAATATGTAGTGTAACATGACCACATGGTGCTATAACTTTGAAATCAATGAAAACCAGAGATGTTTTACCACTTTTAATTTGACACACTCCCTCAAAAACAAGGAGCATGATAGCAATAAATAAAGCAATTATAAGGTCAGTGTTTTTCAAAATGAGAATTGTTTCCATTAGTGAATCATGAAATCAATACATACAACCAGCATTTTTAAAATGAAAGAGAATGAAAAATATTAGAATGTGTTAGACACTAAAAAACTTTTGTTTGACTTCTACGTAAATATATTATGAGTGCATGTACCAGGTTATTTTGTAAATGATTTCTTACTGTAGGCTGTGGACAAAAAAACTGACAAAGATAAACTCAGAAAACCAAGATCAAGTGTTTAAAATAGCATTGGGATAAGAGAAGCAAATATTCCCAAAGTATGTTCTAGAACCTGAGAACACGAGTCCTCAGAAGGGTTTTATGATTAAATAAAAATTCAGAAAATGCCATTTAACTTAACCCATTTTCTAGCATCACACTATACCTTAGCATATTAAAAACAAAAGAGCTTTGCAGGAAAGAAATCTGTTTTAACTATGTACAATCCAGTATTTCCAAAACTTATTTGATCATAAAATAAACTAGTTTATGCCTCCTTCTAGTTAACACAAAATATCCAATGGCTATCTTTAAAAGACACTTGGAAAAATGCCAAACTAAAAAGAGTGAATGAAGGTTATGTTTAAATAATTATTCCTAAAATCATTTAAGAATTCAGCTAAGCCTGGCCAGTGTGGCTCAGTGGGTTGAGAGTCATCCCGTACACCAAGAGGTCACTGGTTTGATTCCTGGTCAGAGCACATGCCCTGGTTGCAGGCTCGATTCCCAGTAGGGGTTGTGCAAGAGGTGGCCAATTGATGTTTCTTTCACATCAACGTTTCAATCTCTCTCTCTCTCTCTCTCTCAAAAAAATCAATAAAAACTTGTTTTTTCTTTAATGATTTTCAGAGAGAGGAAAGGAGAGGGAGAGAGAAATAAAAACATCGATTGGCCTCCTCCTGCATGCCCCCCACTGGGGATTGGGCCCACAACCTGGGCATATGCCCTGACTGGGAATCGAACCAGAGACCTCTTGGTGCATGGGTCCATGCTGAACCACTGAGCCACACTAGCCAGTCAATAAAAACATTTTTCTTGAAAAAGAATCCAGCTAGCCCTGGCCAGTTTGGCTCAGCGGTTGGAGTGTTGGCCTGCGGTCCCGGGTTCAGTTTCCACTAAGGGCACATACCTCGGTTGCGGTTTGTCCACGGCCCTGGTTGGTCATGCGGACAGCAACCATTCAGTGTGTCTCTGTCACACTGATGTTTCTCTCTCTCTCTTTATCTGTTCCTCTCTCTCCCTCCCACTCTACCTGAACAAAAAATGGAAAAATGTCCTCGGGTGAGGATAAAAAAAAAGAATCCGGCTAAAACTCTAGCATTAATGCAACCCACTCATTGCCACATTTTATACTTATTTGTTATTTATTTATTTATTTATTCCTTATTTATTTATTCCTCACCAGAGGACATTTTTGCATTCATCTTCAGATAGAGTGGGAGGGAGAGAGAAAGGGAGAAACATCAATGTGAGAGAGACACATCGAGTGGTTGCCACCCACACAACCCCAACCGGGGCCGGGGACAAACTGCAACCAAGGCACGTGCCTTTAGCGGCAACCAAACCCGGGACTCTCCGGTCTGTGGGCCGATGTTCTAACTGCCAGGGCTCTCATTGCCACCTTTTAAAGATGTCACATAAGCCCTGGCCAGTTTGGCTCAGCGGTTAGAGCGTCGGCCTGCGGTCCGGAGAGACCCGGGTTCGGTTCCCGCTAAGGGCACGTACTTCGGTTGCAGTTTGTCCCCGGCCCTGGTTGGTCGTGCAGGTGGCAGCCACTCGATGTGTCCCTTCACGTCGACGTTTCTCTCTCTCTCTCCCTTTCTCTCTCTCCCTCCCACTCTATCTGTACAAAAAATGGAAAAATATCCTCGGGTGAGGATAAAAAAAATAATAATAATAAAGATGTCACATAAGCCCTGTCCGGTTTGGCTCAGAGGTTGGAGCGTCAGCCCGTGGTCCGGAGAGACCTGGGTTTGGTTCCCACTGGGGGCGCGTGCCTCGGTTGCGGTTTGTCCCCAGCTCAGTTAGTGTTGTGCGGGGGTGGCCACTCGATGTGTCCCTTTCACAGCAATATTTCTCTCTCTCTCTCTCTCTCCCTCCCTCCCTCTCTATCTGAACAAAAATGGGAAAATGTCCTCCGGTGAGAATAGGAAAAAAATAAGAAAATAAAGATGTCACATAAATTGGAGAAAATAAATGCTGTCCAGGAATCCTAAGACCTAGGGTCTTTGATAGACTTTGGTCAACTTAACCTTTCTAAACATTTCTCCTTATCTGCAAAATGGAAAAAATATGTCTTCACTAAGCAAAGAAAGAAAAATAGAAATGAGAAAGCTAAGTATAAGAAGTACTCAAAAATTCTAAAATATAACATATACATAATTTATTCTTACTATTATTTTCACACCTCATTAAGACTTTAGAAGCAATCACTATACAAAACACCAAACTTTTATTTTTATTTATTTACTTATTTTTTATCCTCACCCGAGGACATTTTTCGATATTTTGTTCAGATAGAGTGGGAGGGAGAGAGAGAGAGAGAGAGAAACATCGACGTGAAAGCAACACATCGAGTGGTTGCCACCCACACGACCCAACCAGGGCCGGGGACAAACTGCAACCGAGGTACGTGCCCTTAGCGGGAACCGAACCCGGGTCTCTCCGGACCGCAGGCCAACGCTCTAACCGCTGAGCCAAACCGGCCAGGGCTAAAACACCAAACTTTTAAAAATCACTTTTACATTATTAAATTACTCAATTTAAGAGTAAAAAAACTGAATGTTCCTTTTATAACTACCTGCTCACTGATTCCGGTTCCTCCATAAACACAGACCACTCTAAGTCCCAAGGTCTTCGAAAACTTCTTACATTCTTTAGTGATTTGTAAAGCCAGTTCTCGAGTTGGAGTCATGATGACAGCTGAAAAGATAAATATGTCAAAAGCCTAACCACCAAAATTCTTAAGGATATGATTTAAAGTGTTAAATTTTACCTCTGCAATAAAGTTTAGATCTCTTAGTCTAATTTTTGTTTTTGTTTTAATTTGTTAACTTTTGAAAACCCTATTTCAAAAGTTTTATAATAGTAGAGATTGGGATGAAGAACAATTTTAAGTAGATTTAAGCACATGTTATAGGAAGATAAATCAGTTAAATGCCTACTCAACCATCAAGAAAATACTTGGTTGAAAAGAATACAAATCATTCTGAACTGCAAATCACAGAGCGAAGATAATCAAGTGACTTACTGTGCTGCAGAGCCATTCCCTGGTTTCCGGAAACAACCTTGGTCTGAGGGGCACAGACAGAGGAGAAATATACTGTGCCCTAAATAAATTTCCAAGAGGAGCTGGTAACAACCTTCCAAAGCCCTACTCAAATTTGTAGAAGAGATCTCTGCCAAATGAATAAAAAAATCTAAATCTGAAGACCAAATCCTAAATAAAATGCTGGCACTATAGCCTTTTAAGGCCATAAAAAAGGTAGGAAAATACATTTCCCTAAAATCTTCTATGTTGAGTTTATAAATCCAATGATACTGGGCTAAAAACAAACCTCAACATAAATAAACAGATAGATGCACAAGGAGTCTACCTGCCGAGTCAGAGTTTAAAAATTGAGCTGTGCCAGGAGAGGCTGTTTTTGTACTTCTGAGATGTCACTCCAGAGCTCTGAAGATTCTCACTCCACCTGCTGGTAAGGGGAAATCAGCCCCAAAGTCCCAAATTTATAAAGGAAATGTACATAAAGATATCTTTATTGTTATAATTAAGAACAACATAAAGCATCAAGTCTTTCTGATTAACTGAGACAAAATCATTATCTGAAAAAGTAGTTTAATGGAAAAAATTGTACCTATTGGCCCCTCTCCTTCTTCTAATGATCTCTGATCCATGATGTGTCTAAACATTGGCAACAGAAAAGCAATAGTCTTTCCACTTCCGGTCTTGGCAATACCAATCAAGTCTCGTCCAGACATTATAGCAGGAATCGCCTGAGTTTGGATTGGTGTGGGCTTTTCATAGCCATGCCTTAAAAAGCAAACCAAAGGAAGATAAGGTAAAAGTTGAGATGTCTCAGGTTCTCAAATTTTCAGAAGAGTAACGTTTTCCAAAATGTGGTATATCTATAAAATAAAATATTATTTGGCAAAAAGGAATACAGTCCTGAGACATGTACATAATGGTAGAAATCTGGAAATATTATGCTAAGTAGAAGAAGCTAGTCATAACAGATTACACTGGTACACTCCTATTTACAGAAAATGTCCAAAACAGACAAATCTAGAGAGAAAATAGATTAGTGGTTGCCTAGGGTAGAGGAGAAGGAAGAAGACTGACTATTAACAGATAGAGATCTCTTTTGGGGATGATGAAAATGTTTAAAATAGTTTATGTTGAGGAGTGTGCAACCCCATTAATACACTAAAGAATCATGAATTGTACACTTTTAAGTGAAAATTTTATGTTATTATATAAATTATCTCAATAAAGTTAAGAGAACATATGTTTCTCTATTAGAGTAAAAGTATAATCAAGGGAGATATTTATGTGAAAAAACTACATTTGAGAAAACTTTAAAAATGTGAACCATTAACCACTTACTTTTTGAGAGAATTTAAGATCTTCATAGAAATTCCACACTGAACCCAAGATTTAATTGGTTTGGGGCAACCTTTTCCCTTGACAGTAATGCCCTCCATTTCCAATCGAAAGACATTCACCTCTATAAAAGAAAATCCAGATTAAAAACTCTTTTTTTGTTGTTAATCCTTACCCAAGGATACTTTTTCCATTGATTTCTAGATAGACTGGAAAGGAGGTAAGGAGAGAAAGAGAGAGAAACATCGATGTGAGAGAGACCCAACCGGGGCCGGGGATTGAACCTACAATTGAGGTACATGCCCTTTACTGGGAATCGAAGCCAAGAAGATCCTTAAGTCTGCGGACGGATTGATCTACTACTAAACCAAACTGGCCAGGACCAGATTAAAAACTCTTAATTACTGTTCCACTATTAGTGCCTTCTACTTTTCAATTAGGCAAAGTAAGATTAAGAACCTTAAATTATTCAACTTGAAAAAGATATTATCTAAATTATTAACTACCCTGAGGTACCTTGTCTTTGGAGAGGAGGGCTGGGGAAGAAGGCATACATAATTACTTAAGTGTAATCCTTATATCAGAATTATCTTTCTGGAACTAAAGTAGCAATTGTTAAGTTTAATTTTTATGATAGACTAGAAGCAAAATTCTGAAGTAGTCTAATACAAAAACTGTGCAACTCTTTTAGAAATAAAATCTATAACATGCTAGTGCCGCCCTGGCCGGTTTGGCTCAGCGGTTAGAACATGGGCCTGTGGTCCACAGAGACCCAGGTTCGGTTCCCGCTAAGGGCATGTACCTTGGCTGCAGTTTTTTCCCGGCCCTGCCTGGGTCCTGCGGATGGCAGCCACTAGATGTGTGTGTTTCACATCAATGTTTCTCTCTCCCTCTCCTCCTGCTCTATCTGAATAAAAAATGGAAAGATGTCCTCGGGTGAGGATTTAAAAAAAAAAAAATGCTAGTGCTTTTAAATTTATATTAAGTTTATTTATTTATTTTTTATCCTCACTCGAGGACATTTTCCTATTTTGTTCAGGTAGAGTGGGAGGGAGAGAGAGAGAAACATCAACGTGAAAGGGACACGTCGAGCGGTTGCCACCCACACAACCCAACCAGGGCCGGGGACAAACTGCAGCCAAGGTACAAGCCCTTAGGGGGAACCAAACCTGGGTCTCTCTGGACCGCAAGCCAACGCTCTAATTGCTGTGCCAAACCAGCCAGGGCTAAATTTATATTAAGTTTAACTGGTAAATGCATATAATTTAATTTCTGTGTTAATTCTTATTTCAGAAAATGTTTTTGAAAATGATTAAAAGTAATTTTTTAGTGTGTGATCAATATAAAATTATGCAAAAAAAAGAGTCTTAAATATACTTTTTAGTGTTACCAAAGATTACTCCATAGAAAAGATATTGAACTAAGCAATGAACAGCTCAGAGAGACAGTTAAAGCAATTACTGCTGCAACCAACTAAGGATGAATAGAAATATCCCAATTTCTACAATTTGGCTTTTATCTAAATTGCAATAGTAATAAAAGAACAATGATTCACAAATAATACAATCGTCTTCAAGCAACAGTTGCCCAGATTTTATCCTTATTCTACCAATATCATAGATTCACATTGGTTCCTAATTCCCTAATCTCAAGGGCTAACTATATCTATTTACTAACATCACATGAAGAGTATTTTCAACCCAAAAATTCTCAACTACATGGGCCATACTAATTTTTGCTAACTTTTTTTTTTTAATCCTCAACTGAGGACATTTTTGCATCTATCTTCAGATAGAGCGGGAGGGAGAGAGGGAAGAAGAGAGAGAAACATCGACATGAGAGAGACACATCAAGTGGCTGCCACCCACACGACCCCAACCAGGGCCGGGGACAAACTGCAACCAAGGTATGTGCCCTTAGCAGATACTGAACCCAGGACTCTCTGGTCTGCAGGCCAATGCTCTAACTGCTGAGCCAAACCAGCCAGGGAAATTTCTCCTCACTTTTAAAAAAGATTTTTAAATTTATTTTGAGAGAGATAAAGGGAGAGGGAGACAAACATTAATGTGAGAGTGAAACGTTGATCAGTTGCCTCCCGCATACCCCCATTCCTGGGGATGAAACCTACAACCCGGACAAGTACCCTGACCAGGAAAAGGACCATCGACCTTTCAGTGCAAAGGAGGACACCCCATCAACTGAGCCACACCAGCCAAGGCACTCATTTTTTAAAACATTTCCAACAATCTACTGATTCTTCACAACTCTGAATTTTTGCAGATGATTTTCCCACTCACTAGAGTAACTTACTTTCTAGTTCCCTCACTCACTTCTCCAGGCAAATCAGGCAATTCCCCTTAATCATGCATCAACTCACAGGCCTATGCACATTCCTCCCAGACAAAGAGAAGTGTATCCTCTTCTGTTCCCACAATAACCAATATAAATGAATATAAGGACTTTACCCTCTTGAGACATTTTCGCTAGTTCTGGAACTTCAACATAAAAGTTTTTTCTGAAAGGTTCGTATTCAATCTTCCCGTGATCTACTGGTTCTAGAAGCTTTCTCTGTTTTGTCTGATAACCTGTGAGGGCCGTCTGAAGATCAACTTCTTCCTCCTCTGAAGAATACTATAATTTAAAAAAAAGTTAAGTAAAGAGCTAAATCCATTCCTATATTCTATTTATGGCCATCAATAGCTCTAGCTTTTTGGTTATTGTTAATCCTCACTCAAGAATATTTTTTTCATTGATTTTCAGAGAATGGAAGAAAGGGAGGGAGGAAGGGGGAGAGAGAGAGAGAAACATCAATGTGAGAGAGGTACATCGATTGGTTGCCTCCTGCACATGCTCCAACCAGGGCCAGGGATCGAACCTGCAACCCAGGTTATACCCTTGACTAGGATTTGAACCAGTGACCCTTCGGTGCATGAGCCAATGCTCTAACCACTAGGCAAAACCGGCAAGGGCAATATTCCTAGCTTTAAAAATCCTCTTCTGGCCCAGCTGGTGTGGCTCAGTGGTTGAGCGTCAACCCATGCACGAAGAGGTCGCCGGTTTGATTCCCAGGCAGGGCAAATATAAATATTAACAATGCACAATAGAAGAAATTTCATTCTGTTGCTCATTCCTTCTCTCCCTACTGTATGCCTGAGGTGAGTTAAAGAAGCTAATGAAGTGCAAGACAATCAAAACTGGACATACAGCCCTGGCCAGTCTGCTCAGTGGTTAGAGCACGGGCCTGCGGTCCAGAGAGACCCTGGTTCAGTTCCCACTAAGGGCACGTACCTCGGATGCAATCTGGCCCTGGCCCTGGTTGGGTCATGCAGGTGGCAACCACTCGATGTGTCCCTTTCAAGTCTATGTTTCTCTCTCTTTCTCTCCCTCCCACTGTATCTGAACAAAATATGGAAAACTGTCCTCGAGCAAGAATAAAATAAATAAATAAATAATAGGCATATAGCAAGAGATTAGAATGTTCCACCAACTGGATATTCAGCTACAATACATACTGTTAACAATGGCAAGAATTGCCCTGGCCAGTTTGGCTCAGCAGTTAGAGCGTCAGCCCACAAACCAGAAGGACCCAGGTTTGATTCCCGCTAAGGACATGTACCTCGGTTGCAGTTTGTCCCCAGTCCCGGTTGGGGTGGGTGGCAGCCAGTTGTGTCTCTCTCACATCAATGTTTCTCTCTCTCTCTCTCTCTCTCTCTCTCTCTCTCTCTCTCTCTTGCTCCATCTGAAGATAAATGTCCTTGGATAAGGATAAAAAAAGAATGGCAAGAATTCCTAATAGTAGTTTGCATAAATGAAAAGCACATCTCCATCAATGCTATAGTAAATACTTCTGGGATAGTATCACTTGGGAAACTTTTTTTGTTTTTAATTAATTTCAGAGAGAGAGGGAGAGAAAGAGAAACATCAATTTGTTATTCCACTTATTTATGTATTCATTGGTTGATTCTTTTATGTGCCCTGACCAGGGATCCAATGCATAACCTTGGCGTATCAGGATGACGCTCTAACCAGCTGAGTTCCCCAACCAGGGCTTAAGATAGTATCATGAACAAAGTCAAAATTAGTAAAGAATTACCTCCATGGCATCCTGGTCATTCTCCATCAGCTCACCTTTCTTCTTATCAGAATCCACAACTGCTTTTTTGGTTGTCACAACAGTGACAACTTTTGTGACTGTTGGCCCAGACTTCTAAAATAAAATAGGAATATAAAATACTCAGTAAAGTTGAAATAGATATTACATGCCAACTGAAACACAATGGTAACTGTTACCTATAATTTGAAACTTAGTTATTAGCAACAACTTAATGAAAATACAAAAAGTAGTCTGCTTTCTCGTTTGAATTTTACAATGCAATACACTGCATTGTATTTTGTAATACATTCATACAGGGTAGGCAAAAGTAGGTTTACAGTTGTTCATATGAAAAAAGACATGAAGGTTATGATTATTACAATAACTTTATTAACTCTGTTTCCCATACTCACAACTATAACCCTACTTCTATCCACCCTGTTTGATGCAATTTATTGTATAATATGTAATTTTATATACTATTATGCAATATAATTTACTTTAAAAATACTACTGAATAGTACTTTTCATTCTCATTCGACAAGCAAGACACTGTTCTGGGAGCTTAATCAATAAACAGGTAAAGTCCACTGCTCCTGAGGAGCTTTTCTTTGGAAGGAAAAGGGACAAATAATAAACATGATAAAAAATTAAATTATGTAATTTGTCAAATGGTAATAAATGCTATTTAAAAAAGAAAAGTAGACTAGGGTAAAGAGGATAGGAATATGAAAGATGAAAATACTGGAGAAGCCCTGGCCAGTTTGGCTCAGCAGTTAGAGCATTGGCCTGTGTCCAGAGAAAATACTGGAGAAGTCTGCAGAGGATCATTGAGAAGGCAATAGGAAAAGGTACTGAACAAAGATGACTGTAAAGGTACTTTTGAAACAAGAAGATTCAGTTAAAATTCACTACTGTCTCTGGTACTTAAAAAAAGTACTGGCATTTCTGAGATGGGAGAGGAAACAAAAACATTATAAAGTCATTCCAGTCAGTAGTAGGTCAATGCAACATGAAATCAAGTTATCCAATTAAGAATATAAATCTTTAGAAATAAAACAATATTCCATACCTTTTCATTTCCCCCACCACCTTTTACACTTCTCATGTTAAACTTTTTTACTTCCTCTTTCACTTCTTCCATGTAAGCATCTAATGGATCTAACTCCTCACCCTCCATTTCATTTCCTTCCTTCTCAGCTTCCGCAGGATCCTCTTCATCATCTAAAATACCAGAATATACTTTCTTTGTACATGTGTTTAAAAAGGAAATACTTCACAATCAGACCACACCCCGCCATTCTAACTTTTTCTCACTACTCAAACACCTTCCTTTCCAGTTAACCCAGGCGCATTGAAAATCAAATATACTTCAAAGTTTTTTAACCAAGCATGCATTAGTTCTGAATAATAGTAAAATACAATATAAACAATTACAAATTATTAAAGAGCAAAAAAATTATGCCTAAAAAATGAATCTTCAGTATTAAATCTGACAATTAGACTACTACAAGCCAAACTAAAAACTGTCTGCTAAGTAAGCTTATTTTTCCTTCAATTACCTTTCATAAAAGCATAGAAAGAAAAATAACATTCTTAATTCAAGACAATCTAATCTTTTTTAACATAACTAAGATATCACCACTTAGAGATATAATCCACTTATCTGTTTACTTAATTTATTTTCTTTAATCCTCACCCGAGGATATCTTTGCATCTATGTCCAGACAGAGTGGGAGGGAGGGAGAGAGAGAAAGAATCATCGATGTGCCCTGGCCGGTATGGCTCAGCGGTAGAGGGTCGGCCCGCGGACCAATGAGTCACGGATTTGATTCCGCTCAAGGGCACGTATCTCAGTTGCGGATCGTCCCAGGCCCTGGTCCAGGTCATGCGGGAAGCAACCAGTCAATGTGCCCCTCTCACGTCGATGTTTTTGTCTCCCTCTTTCTCTCTCCCACTCTATCTGAAGACAAATATAGAAAAATATCCTCAGGTGAGGATTAAAAAAAAAAAAGAAGAAGAATCGATGTGAGAGAGACACATCGACTGGCTGCATCCCACACGACCCGGACCAGGGCCAGGGACAAACCGAAATCGAGGTACGGGCCCTTCACCAGAATCGAACCTATGACTTTTGTTCTCGGGCCAATGCTCTAACTGCTGAGCCAAACCGGCCGGGCTTCACTCATCTATTTAAACCGCTCCATGGAACTTCAAGAGAAAATAAAAAATCACAAAAACTTTCTCAGAAAATGGGGCAAAATTCAATTTTCCTATAAAATTCCACATTCTTCCTTTACTAAAAAGTCTAAATCAGAACCTGGCTGGTGTGGCTCAATGGTCGAGCCTTGCCCCATGCACCAAGAGGTCACAAGTTTGGTTCCAGGTCAGGGCACATGCCCAGGTTGTGGGTCAAATTCCCACATGCATGAGGCAGTCAATCAACATTCTTTCTCATCAATGTTTCTATCTCTTCCTCTCCCTTCCTCTCTCTAAAATCAACAAAGAAAAAAAATTGTTTTGTCCTGGCCAGTATGGCTAAGCGGTTAGAGCATCAGCCCATGGACCAATGAGTCACGGGTTTGATTCCAATCAAGAGCACATACCTCGGTTGCAATTCGTCCCTGGCCAAAGTTGGGGTCGTATGGGAGGAAGTCCACTCAATGTGTCCCTTTCACATTGATGTTTCTCTCTGTCTCTCCCTCCCACTCTATCTGAACAAAAAAAATGGAAAGAAAAAAGTCCTTGAGTGAAGGTAAAAATAGAACTCTAAATCAGATATGGAGTAAAATGTTTCTACCGTAAGTCATTAAAAAGTCAGAGGAGAAACCTGAATACAGGTCCTTAATTTACCCTTATTACTTTCTTAATTTGTAGTAAAACTAAAAAGCTATTTACTGATTATGCCCAACTCTCCACTCTAAAATAAAATTAGCAATCCTTAATAAACACTATTTTACAATTATAAATTTAACATAAATATTAAAAGGGGCATTTAAAACCTCCATATGAATTCAGCAAATCCAGTTCTAAGCATACACCCAAAAGAACTAAAAGAAGGGACCCAAACAGATACTTGCATACCAATAATCACAGCAGCATTATTACCAGTAGCCAAAAGGTGTAAACAACCATATATCTAACAATCAGATAAACAAAATGTGGTGTGTATGTGTGTGTGTGTGTGTGTGTATAAATAAGAGTATTAAGCCATAAAAAGGAATGGAATTTTGATACATGCTACAACATGGATGAAACTTGAAGACATTATGCTAAATAAAATAAGTCAGTCACAAAAGGATACTGTATGATTCCACTTTTATGAAAAGGTACCTAGAATAGGCAAAGTCATAGACGCAGAGCAGAATAGAAGTTATCAGGGATGGGAATGGGGAATTACTATTTAATGGGTAGAGTTTCTGTTTGGGATGAAGAAAAAGTTCTGGAAATGGACAGTAGTGATGGCTGCACAAGACTGTGAATATACTTAATGCCATTAATTGTACACTTAAAAATGCATAAAATGATAAAAACATTATATTATGTATGTTCTTATACAATAGCCTTAAAAATACCAATGAGAGCCCTGGCCGGTTTGACTCAGCGGTTGGAGTGTCGGCCTGCGGTACAGAGAGACCCGGGTTCGGTTCCCGCTAAGGGCACGTACCTCGGTTGCAGTTTGTCCCCGGCCCTGGTTGGTCGTGCGGGTGGCAGCCACTCGATGTGTCCCTTCACATCGATGTTTCTCTCTCTCTCTCCCTCTCTCTCCCTCCCACTCTATCTGAACAAAAAATGGAAAAATGTCCTCGGGTGAGGATAAAAAACAAAAACAAAAAATACCAATGAGAATATGATTCATAACACTAGAATATTCTACACAAATTGTTATATAGTGTATTATTCTAACAAGTGAAGATACCATCATCATCTTCTAAACTCCATTTTTTCCCTTGTTTCATCTCTTCAATTTCCTTTTTCAGTTCTCCGATGTTTTCCATGGCCTTTTTGCGTTGCTCTTCTCGCCATTTTTCTACTCTTTCTTTCCTTTTTCTCATTTCTTCTTCCAGCTTATTTTGATCAAAGTTCTTAGGAAGAAAAAAGGTAACAGAGAAAAGCAAATATTAAATATTTTATTCTAATGGATATTCTAAATATTTTCTCAAAGTATAAAAAAAGGAAAAAATAGATGTATACAGATGTATACAGAAACTCCTATTTAGACCAGATTAAGATCCACATCTTTTATTTATTTATTTATTTTAATCCTCACCGGAGCACATTTTTGTGTTTATCTTCAGATAGAGTGGGAGGGAAAGGGGATAAGAGAAAGAAAGAGAAACATCAATGCAAGAGACACATCGACTGGTTGCCACCCACATGACCCCAAACAGGGCCAGGGACAAACTGCAGCCGAGGAACATGCCCTTAGCGGGAACCGAACCCAGCACTCTCTGGTCCGTGGGCCAACGCTCTAACCACTGAGAAAAACTGGCCAGGGCACGATCACGCATCTTTTAAATATCTCCATAAATATACAAGCAAAATGAAATCATAAAAAGAGCATCTTCAATTAAGAAAGCAGAAAGACAGACTTCAAACAACTTAAACTAATCTCATTTTAGTGATAAGCAATATGCACACATGAATTCAATTTCTTCCTCAATGCAGAAAATATATGACTTACCAAGAAAAGTAACCTAGTTATTAATTATTCTCAACTTTAGACTCCTCCAAGATTGCCTCAATGAAAGTAATTTTCTACAATAAACTAGTGAGTAAATAAAAGCTATTTATCACCATGATTAAGAAGTTCTGGTCTTTTAGCCTTGAGGTCTAAGTTTCCTAGAAACAGCCCTTCTAAAGCCATTATCAAGATTATTAATAATACTCTTAAGAGGAGGCAGCAAATCATTTTCATGGCCATAATCAGGGACTTGGTAATGGTGTTTTGGGCACCTGGGATTACTGAGAATTATTTGTGACTTTCTAAATATCTTAAATATGGTTATACAGTGCTTTATATTTCAAAACTAAATTTATTTCTTAAACAAAAAGTTTTGCTCCTGAATTTGTAGTCTTTATAATTCCACCCTCTCTAAAGACAAGCACCAGAAATCTTACAGGCTTTTCTCAAGATTACCCAGTCATCCCATTGAAGATAATGGATCAGAAACCAGACACCCCTAGATTTATGTTGCATTCTTTCTTAGTTACTCTGCTTAGCAACCATGTCCCTTTAAAAAAAAACAGAACCACTAAAAAAAAAAAAAAAAAAACAGAACAAGCCCTGGCAGGTTTGGCTCAGCGGTTAGAGCATTGGCCCAAGGACCGAAAGGTTGCAGGTTTCATTTCTGGTCAAGAGTACATACCTGGGTTGCAGGTTTGATCCCCGGCCCCAGTCAATAGGGGTCATGCAGGAAGCAACCAATCAATGTGTCTCTCTCACACTGATGTTTCTCCCATCTCTCTCACCCCCTTTCTCTCCCCCTCCCTACCTCCCTTCCACTCTACCTAAAAAATCAATGGAAAAAATATCCTCAGGTGAGGATTAACCAAAAAATAAAATAGAACAAATTCAAAAAGACAACAAAACAAAGAAGTGACATGGTAATGAATTCTAAAATGGGCATAAGATATGAGTAGGCAATTCAAAGAAAAGTGTAAATAGTAAATAAACTTAAAAGATAACATGTATACTATAAATTTATTATGTTCATAGCATGTTAAAACATTCACTCACATTTAAAGATATGCAACTCAAAATGATACCAATTACCTCCAGTTACACTGGTAAATATTAATTATTCAAATTCTCATGTTGGCAAGAAAGAAAAAAGACATTTTCACATATCTATATCTTAAGTCAATTTATGTAACATTTGACAGCAATTTGGTATCAATTTACCTTATGCTATATTCACAAAAGACTTACATCCAAGAATTAACACAACAGTTTATCACTGCAGACTGTAAACAACCTAAATATCCATCAAAGGTGATCTTCCTCTCTTGTTTTAACAGAATACTATGCAAGTATATCTATGTATGCAGCCACAGCAAGATGTCCAACATATAACAAATAAATACAGCAAGGAATTCTATTTCTAAGTAAAATGATGGGTATTCTGCTGCTTATTTTCTTATAAAGACCTGATACATTGATAAACTAATTTATAATTTAAAAATAAACAAAAGCTGCCCAAACAGTGTGGCTCAGTGAACAGAGTATTTTGTTGTTCCATGGACTGAGAGGTCCCGGTTTGACTCCCAGTCAGTGCACATGCCTGGGTTGCAGGCTCAATCCCCAGTAGGGGGTGTGTAGCAGGCGCAGGATTGATGTTTCTCTCTCACATGGATGTTTCTATCTCTCTCTCCCTTCCTTTCTCTCTAAAAAAAACTCAATTAAAAAGATACTTAAAAATAAACAAAAGCAAGATACAAAATGGTACATATATGATCATGGTTTGTAAGTAATAACAGATAGATATGCAAGTTCTTTCAGAAAAAAGTTTTCTCTTAGAAACAACTATTTTATCTCTTTATCTTATATTTATTATTTATTTAAAAATAAAACACATAGCCCGGCTGGTGTGGCTCAGTGGTTGAGCATCGACCAGTGCACCAAGAGGTCGCTGGTTCGATTCCCAGTCAGGGCACATGCCCAGGTTGTGGGCCAAATTCCTAGTGGGGCATGCAGGAGGCAGCCAATCAATGTTCTCTCTCATCGATGTTTTTATCTCTTTCTCCCTCTCCCTTCCTCTCTCTCTAAAATCAATAAAGAAAAATTTTTTTAAATAAAAATAAAACGCATAGCCTTGGCTGGTGCAGCTCAGTTGGTTGTTATCCTGTGCACAGAAAGGTCGATGGTTCGATTCCCAGTCAGGGCACATACCCAGGCTTTGGGTTCCATGCCCTGTCGGTTGGGGTTAGTACAGGAGGCAGACTATCAATGTTTCTCTCTCTCTCCCCATAAAAATACACATTAAAAAATAATAAAGCATATAGCATTAAAAAAATAAATAAGAATCATTGCAGAAGCAAGTTTGATATTGTATAATTATTTATGCTAATAAACATACGCCAGCATCCTTTTCTTTTTCATCCTCCTTGTCATCTTTGTCTTTTTTCTTCTCTTTAGAACTTTCTCCACTATCTGTTTTCTCTTTGGACCTAGACCTTCTAAAAAAAAGAGAGAGAAAGACACATCATCTATTTGTGCTTGGAAATATTCATTTTAAAATACTTTTACAGATTTTTACTTTACTCTTTAGGTAAGAAATACACTTCTAAGAGTCAACTGCATCGTTATATTCCATTACTAAACACCTTGGAAATATAATAAAAAATTAATGTTATGACACTTATTGCAAGTATTATTATATATTTGGAAATTCATCCAAGAAAAACTGGACATATCATATAAAAACTACAAAATTTAAATAGAATAAGTAAATTTAACAAATGGAGAAACATACCAAGACATTAATATTCTATAGCATAATTTTTATATGTAATATTTAAAATCCCAATAGGCTTGTATTTTGACCCTACATATCTTAAAAGGATAAAAATTTAATTTTAATGTAATCAATTTGGATGCTCTTTATTGCCCCTTTATGATCAGTGCTTTTTATTTTTTTTTTTTTGTATCCTCACCCGAGGACATTTTTTTTTTTTTTTTTTGATATTTTGTTCAGATAGAGTGGGAGGGAGAGAGAGAGAGAGAAACATCGACGTGAAAGGGACACATCGAGTAGTTGCCACCCGCACAACCCAACCAGGGCCGGGGACACACTGCAACCAGGCACATGCCCTTAGCGGGAACCGAACCCGGGTCTCTCGCGACCGCAGGCTGGCACTCTAACCGCTGAGCCAAACCAGCTAAGGCTGATCAGTGCTTTTTAAAGTACCTAGAAATCCTTCTAGATTTGATTAAAATATCCAGATAAATAAAATACTCTCTATAAGTTTATACTAACTTCTAAAAGGTTTACACTTTTGCCCATTTCATTTTTGGTCTCTAATCTGTGTGCAAATGCTTTTTGTGCACATAGTAAGGTGGCCCGTCCTAGTTCATTGTAGGATATCAAATGTTCCTAGCACCATTTACTGAAAAATCGTTTCCTCACTGATTATGTCACCACTGTCATGTAGCAAAGGACCATATAGTGGGGCTGTTCCTGGACTCTTTATATGGATCCACTAATCTATTTGTCTATACCTACACTAAAACCACACTACCTTAATTTCTATAACTTTATGACAAGTGTTGGTATTTTATTCTTCAAAAGTGCTTATGCCCTTTGCATTTCCAATTTTATAATCAGTTTGTCAAATACTTTCCCACTAATATCTGCTAATAATTTTTAAACATAAATATATGTTGAAGATAATAAAATGCTTTTCATAAATCTACTTAAATAACCATGACTTTTCTCCCTTAATCCTGTTAATATAAAATATTACACTGACTTTTTTTTTTTATCCTTACCCGAGGACATTCTTCCATTTTGTTCAGATAGAGTGAGAGGGAGGGAGAGAGAAACACTGACATGAGAGGGACACATCAAGTGGTTGCCACCCGCATGACCCAACCAGGGCTGGGGACAAACTGCAACCGAGGTACATGCCCTTAGCAGGAACCAAACCTGGGTCTCTCTGGATAACAAGCCGATGCTCTAACCGCTGAGCCAAACTGGCCAGGGCTACACTGACTTTCTAATGTTAAACCAATATTCCATGCCTGGAAAAAATTCAACTAGTTTATGATTGTGTTACCTTTTTATATACTGTTGGGATTCAGTATATTAATCTTTACAAACTAAATACAGAGTACTTTTTTTTCTCATACTGCCCTTGTCAAGTTTTAATATCTATGTTCTTCTCAATTCATAAAATAAATTTTTCTTTTCCAAGTCTCTGGTCATCAAAACTATCATGACAAAGTAAAACGACAAACCAGAGTAAGGAAATATATTTGTCACTTGTATAACTAACAAAAACCAACTATCCAGGTTATTTAAAAACAAAACACAAAACCTATAAATTCATGTTTAAAAAAAGAAACAACCCAATAGGAAAATGAGAAAAAGATGTGAACACTGCCCTGGCCCACGCGGCACAGTAGTTGGAGCATCAGCCTATACACCGATGGGTCACAGGTTTGATTTATAGGCAAGGGCACAAACTTGGGTTGCAGGTTCCATACCTGGCCCCAGTCAGGGTTTGTGCAGGAGGCAACCAATCAATGTGTGTCTCACATCACTGTTTCTCTCTTCTCTTTCCCCTTCACCTTTCCACCTCCCTTGCACTCTCTAAAAATCAATGTGAAGCCCTGGCAGGTCTGGCTCAGCAGTTAGAACAGACCAAAGAGTCGCATGTTGAATCTGGTCAAAGGCATGTACTTCGGTTGCAGTTCAAACCTTGGCCCTGGTCAGGATCCTGTAAGAGGAAACCAACTGATGTGTCTCTCTCATATTGATCTCTTTCTCTCTCCCTCTCCTTCTCCCTCCCTCCCTCCGTTCCACTATAGTGAAAAAAATCAATGGAAAAATATGCTCAGGTGAGGATTAAAATAAATAAATATATATAAATCAATGGGGAAAAAAAGATGTAAACATGTACTTTAGAAAAGAAGAAATCTAAATGACCAATAAACATGAAAGTTCAAGCTAATCAGTAATCAGGGTAATGCAAATTAAAACCACAATGATATTGGTATTACATGTCTATTCAGTTAAGAAAAAATTTAAAGGACTGCGCTGACCAGTGTGGCTCTGGGCACTAGAGGTTGCTAGCTCGAATCTGGGCACATGCCCAGGTTTCATGTTAAATCCCTGGTAGGGGGCGTGGAGGAGCAGGCAATTGATGTTGCACTCTCACATTGATATTTCTCTCTCTCTCTCCTCCCTTCTCTCTCTAAAAACCAATAAAGTTTTTTTTTTAATTTTTTTAATTTAAAAAACAACACCAAATTGTCAAGGTACAGAGCGACACAACTCTCATATACTGCTGGTGGGAGTATAATTAGTAATACTCTTTGGAAAGCATTTGGGATTACCTAGTAGAAATAAAGCTATTTTGATTCTACAACCACACAATTTCACTCCAAGATATACACCCTAGAAAAACTCGTGCAAATGTATAGTAGTATTATATACACAAAAATATTTATAATACCCAAAAGTCAAAATAAACTAAACATGCCCGTCCAGTGTGCCTCAGTGGATGAGCATTGACCCATGCACCAAGAGGTTGCCGGTTAGATTCCTGGTCAGAGTATATGTCCAGGTTGTGGGTCCGATCCCCACCGGGGGGGATGTAGGAGACCGTCCATCAATGTTACTCTCTCTCTCTCCATCTCCCTTACTCTCTCTATAAAATCAATAAAGAAAAAAAAATTTTTTTAAACCTAAACATCTATCTCCATAGAATGGATAGTGGTATATTTATACCACAGAATTGTATTCAGCAGTGAAAACGTATAACTGTTATAAGCAACAAAGATCAGGCTCATATAACCTTGAGCAAAGACACAAAAGAATACATGACTCATTCATGTAAAGTTAAACAACATGTAAGTCTAAACTACTCTTTTTCCAGATACAAATGCAGGTGGTAAAGCTATGAAGAATTACAAGGAAATTACTAGCACAAACGTCAGGACTGCTTTTATCCAAGGAAGTAGAGAGCTAAGCTACAGAAGGATTGTGGAGGGCTTCTGGGGATACTGACAATTTTCTATTTCTTCACCTTAGTAGTGGTTACATGGATGTTGTTTTATAATTATTTAATACACTGCCATGTATGCCCTGGCCGGTTTGGCTCAGTGGTTAAAGCATCAACCTGAGGACCAAAGGGTCTTGGATTCAATTCCTGATCAAGGGCATGTACCTGCTGGGTTGCAGGTATGATCCCTGGCCCCAGTCAGGACAGGGCGGGAGGTAACCAATGTGTCTCTCTCACATCCATCTTTCTTTGTTTTTCTTTCTTTTTTCTTTTCTTCTCTCTTTCTCTTGTTCCTTCCTTGTTTCCTTCTTTCTTTCTCTCTCTCTCTCTCCCCTCCTACCTCCTTTCCAGTGTATCAAAAAAAAAAACACAAAACACCATGGCCAGTTTGAGTCAGATGTTAGAGCATAAGCCCGTGGACCACAGAGTCCCGGGTTTGGTTCCCATAAGGGCACATACCTCGGTTACAGTTTGTCCCCAGCCACAGTTGGGGTCCTGTGGGTGGCGACCACTCAACGTGTCCCTTTCAGGTCAATGTTTCTCTCTCCCTCCCACTCTATGTGAACAAAAAGAACAACAACAAAAATGTCCTCGGGTGAGGATAAAAAAAAATAAAATAAAATCAATAAAGAAAAAAAAATTTAAATGAAAATATTTAATATTTGAATTTTATTCACTTGTTATGAATTCACATATATACATATTCTTGTTTTATGTTTTTTGTTATTATTTGATTTTGAGAGTATATTTATTGCCCTGCCTGGTTAGGCTCAGTGGCTAGAGTGTCGACACACTGACTGAAGTGTCTCAGGTTCAATTCCAGTCAAGGGCATGGACCTCGGTAATGGTTCGGTCCCAGTCCTGGTCAGGCTTGTGCAGGACACAGCCAGTCAATCTGTCTCTCTCACATTTATGTTTCTTTCTCCCTCCCTCCCTCCTTCACACACTATCTAAAGATAAATGGAAAAGTATCCTCAGGTGAGGATTTAAAAAATAAAGAGGTAGCCCGGCCGGTATGGCTCAGTGGTTGAGCGTTGACTCATGCACCAGGAGGCTGCCGGTTCGACACCCGGTCAGGGCACATGCCCGGGATGTGGGCCCGATCCCCAATTGGGGGCATGCAGGAGGCAGCCAATCGATGTTTCTCTCTCTCTCTCCTTCTCCCTTCCTTTCTCTCTCTAAAAATCAATAAAGAAAAAGAAATTAAAAATAAATAAATAAATAAATAAATAAAGAGGTAAGGTACAGACTGACAACCTTCAGAAGAGGAGGTGGTGGGGGGAGGGAAGAGATAAACCACAAAACTTATATGCATGTAGGCATAACCAAAGGACACGGACAACAAAGCCAGGGAGGGGATGGGGGGGATAGGAAGGAGGGTGTCAAAGGGGAATAAAAGGAGAAACATCTGTAACAAAAATAAATTAATAAAAAATAAATAAATAAATACT